TTCATTTTCGAGCCATTAATTGTATTATGTATTGCAACAATAAATTTAGTACTCTTAGGATATCGCTTAAACCGTTATTATTTTTGTTTAATCCATTAGTTATATATTCTTATTCTCTTTTTATTTCCAGGAAATAGGTCGTGTAGGACGTAAACAACAGGCCTCATATTGTCATGCATTTCTACCCTCCTCTTTAATGAATGATCCACATGAAGCAAATCATATAAGACGACATATTTTTGCTAATCATATTGATGCTGTATTATTGAAACGTTTACTTGGATTAATATTTAAAGATTTTCATTGTACATGTCGGTTTATTGAAAATCATAAAGAAAATCCAATGTCATGTCAAGGTCATGTACATGCAATTGATCTACAAGTTATCAGTGAACAAATCGATATAAAACCTGAAAGCTTAGCTACGATATTAGCTTACATAGAATTAGAATCCAACAATCCAATAATCTCGTTACTGCATTCTGGTTATGCTGTAAGTGTATATTTCCATTCTTATACTTTTATCTACAATAAGTAATCAGTGAATATTCAAATCTAAATAAAGACTTTAACTAAGATACCATTTGTAAGTTCATATCATATATGTAGATTCAATAAATGGAAACTCTACATGAATTTGATTGTTGCCGTTATGTGTTCGTTGTTCAAAAAATTCGAATTTCGTTCTCTTATCCAATGTTCGACAAATTATTGTCAACTACACACTAAAGAGGCTTGTAAAAATGTCGCATATAGTCATAGTTATACAGCTTCGAAAATTCTTTCAATTTAAAGGTATTTTACTCACCTTTTTTTTCTTTTAACTATTGATTATGGACCTCATCATGCAACATGTTAGCAATGTTTTCGACATAACTCACTAATTTTTCGATGCTTTTGTATCCTTCTCAACTGTTCTCTTAATGGATCAAAATATTAATTGTTCTGCAAATATTTTCATTGCTCAAACAAAACTGAAAGCTACAGTTACTCAATTAAACTTCATGTACTTAATATTAAGTATGTTAATACGTCATTATTGTGTCACCTTAAGCAATTACTGCTCATCTGTATTCTTAGTTGAATATTTTACAAGTTTTGTTAATTAGGTTGTTGCCTATATCTTACTTTTCAGATGGCTACTGTCCACTGCTATGGAGGTCAATATGAGATGGCTTATGCTTCCCAACGTTGTTTAGCTGTTTCAGGTGCTCTTAGTTTGTGGAAAAGTGAACAAACGAAGGATTCACAAACCAGAGACGAATATCCTAGGCAGTTGAAATTAAATTTACCACAACTGTTTAATCGTTGGGGTTGGAAGCCAAATGTGGTAAAACAAGAGTTAAAAAAATTGGAATGGGATAATTCCAGGAATAATAATCCCACCAAAATGTCTAGTAAAGTTCATCGTACTGGGATAAATATTGATTTTTCACATTGGAGTTCGTGGCTATGGATTCATGGGTCTGAAGTACCAATTACGAATGAGCGTTTAGATACTTGTTTGGTGTACTTAAATAATCGCCTGCAACAAGCTGAGGAAGCCGCTTTGCTTAGTATAGAACAATTAACATTGGCTTTAGGTGCTGTCGCACAACCGTGTCTTCAAGACATCTACCCTGAAGAAACTAACGATGATTTAAAGAGTCCTAAACCTGTTTGCAAAAAATATAGTGAACAGTGGTCATCTGTTGTGCACGAAATCATCAAATCCCATTTTTCCGGTACTAAAAGCAATTTACGAAATGATAAATTAACACTTATTGAGAACTGTCAATCTCGATATCATTGGCCAACAGCTGTAACAGACACTCAGGTCAGTGTGGATATTCCGTATTTCTTAACAGCTCATTCTTTACATATACGTGGATTTATATTGATTTTAATTTTAATAGGTAGTTAAGGTAGCTAATAAATATGTCATTTCCTCACCGTAATTCAAAAAGACCAAATTAGTTAATCAAGGGTACTGACAAGTTTGTCAAATGTTTCTAAATTCCCATTTTTAATAGACTTAAAACTACAAACAAATAGTTACACAATTTGTTTTCATATAGATTAGGTTTTTCTTATATGGTCTTCTAGAAATGACGGTGGCGTCCATCTTCTTTATAAAACTATCCACTTTCATGTAAACATGGTATATAAACGAAAGGAACCCTTTATGATCACAGGATAGCACTACAATAATTTCAATACATTAGATATGCTTATTTTTCTTTCGTTAAGATTGCCTTAAAGTGTTACTCAGTTCACTGCGGATTAGGGTATTACACAAATACAACGTAACATTTAAGAGGAGAAATAACGATAGTGTCAGTTTCTATTTATCATCTAGTTTAACTGTCATGAATAGTCACAATATAATCGCATAAATATTGCGGAATAACATGTGTCTTTTAGTTTCTTCTTTAGTTGAAGTATTTGTTATAACACACTTATTATTTATTTCAACACAAATATCGGTACAAGAGGACACCAAATACATATGCGCCACACCATATTTGTGTGTGTGGGCTGTGATACTACCCGGGTGCCCAAACCGAAGCAGGTGGTTTTCTTAGGGTTCCACTCCCCGAGCCTTTGACCTGAAGGTCTGATCCACAAGGCAGTGAAGCATCGTGAGGAGATGCAGCCCCATGGTAGCCGGTGACCAACGATTGGTTCATACACCATTTGTTCCCGCAGGATACTGGAGCCCATGTGCACCATTGATTTGGGATCCGGTTAAAGCACCGGAGATTCGCTTTTCGTCCTCTCATTTTCGTAAACAACATCCGCCACGAGAAGGCAGTGAGTAGGACTTCCTTAGCAGTGGCTGTATACGCGTGGCCGTGTGAGAGTATTTCGAGAGGGAGGGCGAACCCACTCCACTTTCGGCCATACCAGGGCATTTGGGGGCTATGACACACTAATCATTATGTAAACCTATTTTTCTGAATTTATATTAATAAAATATTTGATTAAAACGGTATATATATTACATGGCGTAAATTTTTCTGTTTGTTATTATTTTTGTTGGTCAAAGATCGCTCAGGTGCAGTCTACAGTTAGAAACTTTCTACATGTATATGAATCTAGTCTTGATCGAAAAATCACAGGTCGGACAATCGCTAATATATTTCATGGGATATCGACTCCTCACTTCCCTGCAACTACATGGGCATATTGTCGACGATTCTGGAAAGTCCATTTGGATATTGATTGGCCAACTATTAAGAAGATTGCTACCCAAGAGTTACTAATTCATTTTTCATGCACCTAAATAATTTATTCACACCATTTGTAACATAGACACTGATTTCAAAGAGTGAATCACTGTACCAATAAATAAACATATGAGTAGTTACTAAATTGACAGTCATCTTAATATTTAGAATCAAACTTCACGGACAAGGTTACCAACCTGAGACGAAACTATTTAGGTTCGGGTCCTAAAATGTATAACATTTACGCAAGCTTTGGTGAGTTCTACTTCCTGTAGTAATTTCCAACCGGTGCACTTAACCTGGATTTACACAGTTGGAGAGAAAGATGTACAGGACACATTTTTTCCATGGAAGAGCAGGAATGAAATTTAAAGTTGGTTTTTATTAAAGTTACATTAGCGCTGACTATTTTTAAAATGAGTAATTGATACATTCAGATTACCCTGTCACTGGCACAGTTCGTTAAAAGTTGGTCCTATCAGTTACGGATGCCACTGGTCATGAATTGTTTTAAAGCATAAACGAACAGAACCTAATCGTTATCCTTGAATACGTAGCACTAATTACTTTGAGTAAATACCATACTCAATGCATTAAATTTTAGAAAAGTCATTACTAGTGTGTGGTATCACTGCTACAAATAAGAAACATCAGTACTTGACGTGAATTAACATCGATTGCTATGTCGTCCACTTAAGCATGCGACGTTGCGAAAACTACCGTGACCGCATCAAAAATTATTAGAAATATATGTGGATGGGAACTTACTAGCCTAATTCCTTTATGTGTGATTCATAGACACATCTCTTTTTGTTGCGTAGTAATGACAACATGAAATGGCGCGCTCCCAGACATGATTTTATAATGACATTCCTACTCACCATGGAACTGTATACATGACTTCCTACAAACACTCGGACCCGACTAGCCAAACTTTCTTATATTCAAAAAGTAAGATAGCAACCTATCATTTAGCCTCACTAAGTTGCATCGTACCTTTTGATATAGCGATATTTTATTTTCAGAGTTATAGCTAGTCATACGGACAAGTAATCTTTACAGTTAGAAATCTGCAAAATACACTTTCTATGGTTAACCGGATTCCCACTAAAGTTGGAGTCGAGAGATTTTTATTGTAAGGGTGCACGTTGTGTATTATTCAAATTATGTCATGATCTCTTAACACTTTCAAAATGATAGCATTCATCTCATAAACTAAGGAGTTAAAAGTAATAATCTATCTCCTAAACGCAAATTTGTTTGTCCATATGAAGCGAAATATTACTACTCGGCAACGAAGTTAAGTAAGGGGTCATTATGTTTGTCGTGTACCGCATGTTAATACAAAGTTTATTAGTAATTCGAGTTCAAGTGACATTATTTCGAAGTCGTCTGATTATAACTTATCTCGACCACGAAATGATTTTAAGCAAACTACTTAAGTAGTTGTACGATATCATTCAAGTGTGACATTACACCATCCACAGTAACATGCACATATAAACACTAGTCTCTCACACTTGGGCGAGGACCTGATTTATATTAAAATGTATTCGGACTTCGAACTAGATCTCATGAACAACTAGGAAACCACAGATAACATGCACGCTAACTAGTTAGGCGTCAATACAGCAAAGAAAACGATGCGCGAAACCTCGTTAAGACAACACTAACTTCATTTGGAGGTAGGGTTTTATTTACTTTTGCAAAAGCAATATTAATCAAGTTTAGTAAATAATTCAAACATAATGTAAATGGATATCTCAAAGATTTAGGAAAAAAACAAACCAACTAATCGTTTGGAGTCGATGAGTGTTGTGGAGATGTTAGCATAGGTCTCTGGTGATTTTGTTGGGAGAGTATTCTATGCACATGAGCCTCAAGCAGGTCAACATGCTTCTCTGCATTAGTTAGTTTGCTGTCCAAATGAGACAACTTTGTTCGACATGAAGAGTCAAAACGATTGAGGAAATTTACTAGGCTTTTGATATTTGTAGTAATCACATCAATCCTTTCGCGGTTGCCCCAATCATCTTTAATTTCTTTAGCAGCCCTGAAGGTCGAAGCCATCCATGTACCGGGACCGTTAAAAATGTCAGTTCTGTGTCCAATAAGTTTCGGTTCAGGTGTAAACCGACTGAGTTCGCCTCCTGTTGTTTCGGCACGGTTCTAGGTATTTGGAAGAGTGTGGCTCAAGTTCAAGAGTGAGTAGATATCATTGGACTTATTTTTAACACATTAATGTGTAAAGTTTTTCATCAGAGACAGATATGGAATTTTGTTGGAAGAATTTGCATTGTAGTACGTCCACAACACTTGAATCATCTGAATGTCCATTAAAGTAACGTCTAGCCACCACACTGGACTAATCACAAATAATTTTGTAGTAAATTGTTAATTTCCACATCTTGTTTAGGTGGGTTTGTCACAGCTGTCAAATTTGTTATAAGGACAAAGGGCCTACGGACAATTTTATTCCTTCTCTAGTATACTTTTGAAAGTGTATAGTTTTATCTTGAGTGGGCCAATTCAAATTGCGTACACCACTGCTTCGTGTAACAGGTTCCAAGAACTTGGGATTCAATTTGAAAACTTGTAATCTTAGGGTGTTTTTTTTCGTTCTTGGCTTTTATAGTCGCCTCATATGTCCTCTAAAATATCCCAATCTAGTGGGAAGAGAAATGAAGTATGTAATAGATCCAAAATCATCTCTTAGTGTTCTGTACTTCAAAACCAGATCACCTCTTAATCTGAGACGAGACAGAGTAAAGATGTCTAGCTTTTTTGCCGCTCTTTGTGTGGTAAACCCAGGAGTTCTAGAACTGCACGAGTAGCTGCCCATTGTACGTCTTCCAGAACACTCGGGTTACATTACAAACAGGGGCTTGCAGACTGAAGTCAGTTTTAAAGCCTGGTTCGCACTACGGGTGTGTATACTGTAGTGAATATGGTAGTATCTAACTTAATGAATTTCGGTCTGAAAGCCCATAGGGTTCTAAATCCCTTGGCTGCAACTTCGCGGCAGTGTGTCATGGTTTTATTATAATGACTGTCACCACAAGATATTTGTGAGATCGGACCGTGGATACAGGCACTTTACCTAAGCTGTACCTATTTACCTTTTTATAAACAAAGTTCGTTTAGACACACTTTGTGCACTGATAAGCATCAGCCACTCTTTAGACCATCTAATCACCATATTAAAGTCTGTATGAGGTGCGCACGCATCTGCGTCACCCGTTGTTTCTCTCCAGATTTTCACATCATGAGCCTATAATAATATTAGAGACTCAACTACATACATACATACATACAGTACATAAAGTTAAATCTAAGTCAGAACCTTGCGGTACTCCACCAAGTACTGGTCTTCAGGTGGAGCTCTTTGAATTTACTCTTACGTTTCGTCTGCGACCTACTACGAAATCCTGGGGCCATTTTAGTAGACGCATAGCAGTGTTAGGCCTTTCCAGTTTTAATTTGTCTCGAGATTCTGGAGTCTTGGTCATCCAGTCCTGTTGAATTTTCCATGTCTTAGGTGCAAAAAGACTCACGTACATTGTTTCGATCAAAGTCCACAGTGAGCAGACAGTTTGCTGTCTTAATCTTCGACCATAGATCTTCATCTGGAGGAGGCTCCTAGGTAGAAACTGCCTCTAAATAGTTCGCCATAGCATCTGCTTTGTCCTCATCATCCTCTATCATTCGATATCCACTACCTTCATCAATTAGGTTGAGAATCTTATGCTGCATCCTAGTTTTCTAATTTATTTACGAGAATATTCTCTTAGGCTCCCTGATTGCTGATAGTGCCAATTACATTTCATGTTTTCGCTTTGCTTCCCGGGTTTTAATGATACACGATTTCTTACCGATCGGTAACGTGCCATTGTCAAGAATGGAAACAGAATGTAATTTGTATGCAAATGCAAGAACAATGGAGTCTGAGTCAATACGAGTCAAGTGATGGACAAATTACGTAATTACTATTTGATTGTTAGGTTTTATTAACAAGTCCTTTAATTTTCTGTCAAATTCATTCAATTTTCCCCGCCCGTCTTCTTGTTGTTTACATTTTCACCGTTAACACTTCGAGGGAACCAACTCACCGGTTTGACAGGCCATCTCAGACATGAACTTCAATATGGCGACTATATTATCACTTCTCCCTAGAGACGTAAGGAAAGTCATTTGACCGATATCATCTCCATGTAACGCTGTGTGCGTCAGCAGTAATGTTTCAATTTTATTCTGCCGTCCGACTATCAACCGGGACGTTGGTTGATTGCAATGTGAAAATGATTAAGTGACTGTTTGTGTAATATTGAACGATGATTGCTTGGAGAACTCACTTAATAAATAAAACAATTAGTAAAGCAGACAGTTTGATAGGGCTAGAGAGTGTGAATCTAAGGAAGACAGATAGATGTAGATATGTGATATGGATTAACGATGACAATTAGTAAGTTTAGAGACGTACACCAGACAAAGCTTAACTTATCACGGAGTGATAATCCATGGTTAACTAATTATCAAGTCTCTTCTTGTTAGCAATGTTCTGGTGGGATGTTTGTGCTGAAGCGAATTTGTATACTTAGTATGTTGTTTGTAATTGTTAGATTACCTCTTATCTTCTGATAGTCGAGTGTGAATAGTCCCAAATCTTTGAGTCCAAATTGTCTTCTATCGATTGAAGAATTAGACTTACATTGCCTCGATTTCAAATTGATTTAAGCTAGCTTGGTTACTAACCCGAGATCGCTCTTTGAGTAGACAGTCGAGTGAGGATCCTTATGGGGAGTGTAAGTGCCCTGTATCAATTAGAGTAAGTAAGTTGTTTGAGTAGCTTGGGGAAGAATGTTCACGACATGGAGTTTTCATAGTTTATGTTTCAAGCCGCTTGTTTCGCAATTACTTAGAAGTAATTTTTAAGCTCATTTAGTCTTTTATCGGACTCCGTATATTTGTGTCCTTCTCATATGTGTGTACTGATGAGCCAATTCTATTTAGAAATTTACTAATAGAAATCAGGGTGATCAATGAACTTAACATTGTAGAGCATTTGAAATTTTCTTTTTGTGTTAGACTCTACTTTACTCCCATATTAAGTGTCCTGAGCCTCACTTTAGCCAGGATCTTCACTTTTTAGGTGGTAACACTACTTCCGATGTGTTGATTATGCAAGCACTGTAATCGCAACTCCTGACCTTATGAGAAGACAATTTGGCGTGACTACTTCATTGTTGTTCCAATAACCGTTCGAAACTTACGCACGGCCACACTTTAGAGTGCACAATTTTGTTGTGCTTGAATTCTTCGAAAGAGGCAAGAATATCTTGAGCCAAACACAGAGACGGGCGACCGAGTTGGTCATAGGGCTGAAACATAAATCTTTGGAGGACAAACTCCACAATCTGAGATTGTTCTCGTTGCGCAACAGGACAATAAGAGATGATCTGATGATGGTATACAACAAATCGAGTTCACCGAGTCAACTCGAAAAAATGGCATTTTACCGGGACATCAACAGAACGCTTCTCGAGACAACTCTCGAAAGCATGAACAACAGTCGCGTACGTCCTAGCATGCTCTGACTTTTCCTCATTAAAAGTTGACCCCACCTGGAATGCTTTCCCAGCCGAAGTGATCACAGCCCTTATCAGTGGATAGCTCTTAAAAGAGACATGATAAACACGTAATCATCAGTGGATTACTATCTGAGGCTCATCTCACCAATTCCCATTGTTATCATTAACGTATATCAGTAACTACTTCAGTTGTCTCTATTTATTACCATCGTTTTCAGTCTAATTCCTTTAATTCCGTCTCATCACACACCACCAATTACTTAGCCTGTTTGTTATCCTGGAAATAATTATCTCCTATCATAACTCGAATTATCACCATTATTTTCTCATTGCAACCAAACAAACTCTGCCTAATAATGTGAAAGCTATTGGGGGATGGAAGCCCTACTGTTTCAAGACAAACGCACTCACACAAGCAAAAAGATATGCAAATCTACAAGTGAATACCAAAACGGCTAGAATTAGTGCAGTTGAATGGCTAAACTGCCACTCACTTCTATTTAGGGAATACTTGGAATCGTACCAAAAACAACAGGAAGACAACTGAAGGAAATCAAATAGCTCATACGAACTGGTGACAAAGATATTAGATAAACCTGAGCACTGGGTTTGTTTATATTTTGTTTAATTATTCCAATATCTTAGGTGTTGGTAGGATAAAACGCTCAGCTCATTGAAATAGTCTAATTTCCGACTTGAAATTTATTGACTTTGTGAATCAATACAACTGACTGTCACCAGTCAAAAACTCAAGAAAATCGTCTCGTAAAGTTAGCGATCATCCTTAAAAGGAATTACAGGCATCCGTTCAAAAATTATTATTTGATCGAATTCGATCAAGTTATATATATATATAACACATATATATATATATATATATATATATATATATATATATATATATATATAACACATTAGATCGATTTCTATAGAGGTAGATTCAATGTGCAATCTCGATTATCAGGTTGCTTTCTGGCAAAGTGTTTTTTGAACGTCTTCATTTGATGGTATTTCGTAATTAAAGGCTATTGAGAGGTTGTATGCGTGCTCACTCAGTTACATGCTCGCGTTTCTCATTGTTCTTTTCTCTTCTAGATACCCTAGTTCGCTTGGTTTATGTTACTATCTTTAACCAACAAAATATCTTCAGGACAAATATGAACCTATAAACGATCTAAAGCCTGTTAGTAGCATAACAGCAATTAAAACGTCAATTTATAATTCCTAAATTCCTTATTTATAAAAATGAGTGTTCCGTAAGATTTTTCATACAATAATTATTTTTCAGTTCTATTCGGTTTAAGTGCACTATGAACAATACGATTCTTGATGTCCTAAGAAGCCGTGGATGGATTGAGGTTTGCAGGTAACACAATAATTACTAAGTATGAATAAAAAAATATTTACCTTACCAATGTAAATTATCGAATACAGGAGCTTGACTCTTATGAATCATTTTTTTGCCTTCGTCGATGTATTCTCTATATATATAATGTTCTCAGGAATCACCACCTTGCTTCTCGACTTTACTGAACGGTTCCGTCAATATAATACTTTTTTATATTTTGGTCTTCATTGGTAAGAATATGATATCAAGTCATCTCTAAGCGAACCGTATTAATCTTTGCCATTTGCAGTACCGCGAAGATTTACCGTCGTTTTGAATATACTGACAAATGATGGTTGTATTACGTTTTCTAGAAGTCAATTTTACTGTTTAATGAGAAAAACAAGGCTCTAGATGTAGACTATTTGCTCTCCATTTTCGCATTATCTGAGAGTGTCTTCTTAGATAACCAGTCCTAGATACAATGAGAAAATCGATAACCCCACAGTCTAGGATAAGCCAGTATTAGATCACCTTGTAACTTGTATTCCTTGCTGATAAGCGACTATTGAACTGTAATAATCAATGAAATCTCTGGTATTATACAAGTGAAAATATTATATGAGTTGTGTAAACAATCACCTGGATTAATATGCCTCTATGATAACTGATAATGAATCTGGATTTATTGTTTAGATTCAGATATTCAATGATTATCAGAGAACAGGAATGGATAATTTGACGAGGTAAATATGCACACTTCTTTACAAAGTTTTTTACACAAACCAAGCACAACTGAACCTATTCAGACGTAAATGACTGTTCTATATGATTTTTGTAGTTCATTTATGAATTAGGAAACTAAAGCCTGATTACCGGACTCATTTAACACTTCTCATATTGTTTGGCTGATTACACTTTACATGTGAGCTACATAATTTTATGATTGAGTCACAAGTAAATAAGTGCATGTTAATGGTAAACATATATTACAGTAATATTAGCCTAGTGACTTTACCTTTTTCCACTTATGATGAAACGAAGTTTTGATTTCAATCAGAAAATATTTTTGAGGGAATATAAGTGAGTATTTTTGCATATCACAAATGGAAATTTTTTCTAAACGGCTATTGTATTCATTTTTTTACTTTTTACAGAGAAGAAGAATGTGATTTCTTTTGGTGTGATCCCATGACAATGAAAGAGTTATTTGATCACGGATTAATGGGCAATATAACGAAGATTTGTCATTTTCGAAATCACTTTGAGGTATGTTGTAGTAAAATATATGCAATTTGGCTTCGTGTACGTGTAGTAATATTTCAACAAGGGCTTGGTGATTTCACACATGTTATTGAACAATGTTTGTTCATTCCAGATGATTCATGGAAGGAGTATTGAAGAATTAAGAACTTTGAAAATGTTTTTTCACTAATGTTGTTTGTACTTTTATCACATTATTACTGAGTAATTAGACCACTGTACTTCTATGTCCTATTTATTATAAGCTTCCGTTTGTTCCATATCAATCATTACTGTACAGTTTGCTCTTAAATTATTCCCAATCAATTATTTACAGTTTGCCCGGTTCATATTTACTTTTCACTAAGCAGAACACAATCCATAAGATTGTTTTAGTTAACAGAATTAATGTAGTATGTAGCTAGTCTTTTTCAACCATGAATACTCATAAACTATATTTCTAGGAACAGATGAAGTCGGCGATATAAGGTTCATTGTATTTCCATTAATATCTTACTGTAATTCAAAAATTAATCATCGTGTGTTTGATTATACTCATATCTGTTGTCTATTGTCAAATTGTAATTCATTTGTAAGTGTTTTATTCTTCCTGTTGTTGATGTAAAAGACTGCAACTGATCGATCTTTTTGGCATGTATGCATTCTGAACAGATCGCTTCAATGTAACCATAAAACACAGACGTTTCCAATTAGAGTTGTATAGTGGCTAGCAGCAAAATCTAGAACATGCGATCTGTTCTAGTTGAGACTCATCACTTGGACGTACCTTCATCTCAGTCTTAGTGTTCAGGTCAAAACGGGAACCAAGTACCTTCTGCTTCAAACGCCAACGCGTTAGCCAGTTAATTATTGAATGCAGAATTAATCACAAAGATAGGCTGAAAATGAATTATTCATTGGTGGTATGGTTATCTTGCTTCATATGCAATACAGGCATTTACAGATGTACAATGCCTTATTTTGCAAATTCATCACATCATTTTCCCCCAAACTCTAGAACACAAAATTTGTAGATTATGGCTCCTCTTTATTTTAAAATTAACTTTAATTTGGTGGAAATTGATAGTTAGTGATTATTCTTTGACAGAAGGATGCCTATAGCCTCGATATTTCATCTCAATTAAGATATGTTTGCGTGTCTTATTGTTGTTTAACATAATGACTCAAAGTTTATTATCATGAACATACGATATGATATCTGTGTATTATAAGAATTCACTGAATAGTAAATGATTTCAAAGGTTTGATAATTATTTACCCTTAAATAAAGGCATACATTTGTTTGAGTAAAGCAAATGCTTAAACAGACCGTAAAATAGCCTTTAATTCTTATATGTTCAGAAAGATACAAGTGAGAAGACCGGCAGAAATTTGTTCAGCTGTATAATAATATGGGTATATATAAGTTTTATAATGTTGTTAGATAACTATTAAAAACCGGGAAGTAATAAGCAAATGTTCTTTTCTAGTATAGAACTGCTTAGCATAGCACATTCACGACGCAACTGGGGACCAAACTTAAGAGTTTTAGGGCTCATAGCGAGTGCTCAACCTTTAAATCAATTGACAAGGATCCATTAGTTTACATATCTAAACTTCAGTCAGTTCTTCATATTGAGCAACAATCTTCCCATACCATTAACGAATGATTGATACGTCAGTGCCTTTTAGTTTTCAATGATTATCTAAGTAAGTTCACTCCATGATGTTGATTGTAACAGTTAATAATCTTGACGAATGCTTGTCATAAAAATAACAATTTTCTAGGAAATATTTTTGTTCAAGATCTATTAATGCCGTATTTTCTGTATTACATTCATATAGTGGAATATTTGTCCTCGTTCATTTAAAAGCAATTACAAAATAATCAAATATCATACAACTAACATAACTTCATTCACTTGGTATTGTTTTACTTGAATCTACCCATTGGTGTTTAGGACTGCAATTGATCAGTCTCTTAGTGGCATATTTGCATTCAGTGCATATTGCCTCGATATTGCCTTAATTTACAAGCACTATAAGCAAGGATGGATAGTGATTACCAGTGAAATTCAGGATACGCGTTTCGTCCTATTTGGGACTCATCAGCTGGATATATGTGCGTCTTACCCCATTGCATAAGCAAATTGCTATCACGACTCAGTAGCTAAATGGATAACACGATGGCATTTGAAGTGAGCTGTACTGGGTTCAAGTCCCAAAGTGAATATCAACTCTGAGATTTAGAAACATGCAGTTGTCGTACATCATGGATTCCATTGCTAGCCAGTATCCACCCTTAACATTAACCTTATTGATAAAATGTATTTTTTCAAAGTAGAAACATAAGAACTAGAGCGCAAGTAGATCTTATCTAGTGATTAGTTCACGTAAATATGTCTGATTTTATAGGAACGTAATCTTTTCATAAATAACATGATCATTTATTTCACTGATTGAAATCACGAGGCAATTGAAGCTAGACAACCATGGAAAACCTGAAAGCACTGGATGGCCGTCTCTTCCTAGTACGGGACTCCTCAGCAGTACCCATTCACGATCTCTCAACTCGCGGGATTCGAACCCAGGACCTATCAATCTCGTGCCAGGCGCTTAACCAACTAGATCACTGAGCCAACGGTGTCAATGTCTAACTTCAACCAATCCGCGAAGTTGCACCACCGTGGCGCAATGCCAATGTTCAGTTATATGTGTCCCAGTTGAATGACGATTATACAGTTGGTGTTACCATCTTGAAAAACCGACGCCAATGGTTTTGCCATGTTTTATGAATATCGCTCTAGTGAACTCCACAATGAGCTAGGGCATGATGAGAATGGCGACGACGTGGTCAGTTTGTAAACTAATCTATGTCATAAAAGACAGCTTCATAAGAACGATACCTCTCAGTATCTCGGGGCCGGCATCTAACGGTATTAATATCTGACCTCAACCAATCCACAATATTGCGCACTGCTGAGGATTCCCATACTAAAACGTAACGGCAGTCCAAGACTTCCCGGTTTTTCATGGCTATCTAGCTTCAATGGACTCATGATTTCAATCAGTGAAATTTCTAAAAATCTTCACAAAATCCCTTCTGATGATTTATTGTATAAATTAATTCTTGAAAGATACCTTAGTTACTAAATGTCAATAATTTCGCATAGTGATAAGTACACAGATTATTTTAAGTGTCCTTTTTTTTTAAAAATCTTTGATATCATCTGAATCCTATCAAAACACTTTCATTTCATTTCTTTTTTTTTATATTATTAGCTTACACGTAAAAATTTAATGGTTAAAAATTTGAAACGTTTAAAACGTAAATGGGAAAAGGAATATAATAAACAAGAAAGTCAAATGTAATGAATTCATATATTATAAATCAATACATTTGTTCCCCTTATAGATTGAATTTTTTCCCAACAACATTTGAACTTCCAGTAAGATTTTATTTAAATATCTTTAATCATTATTTTTATTAATTAAAGATGGAATATCATATGTTTATTGAAGAATTTCGTAAATATCCTGGTTCTATATGGATTATGAAACCGGTTGCTAAATCACAAGGCAAAGGAATATTTCTATTTCGTAAATTAAAAGATATTGAAGCATGGAAACGTACGGGAATGGTACCGTTTTTTTTGTTTGTTTATTTGTTATAAAATCATATTTATCTTTTTCAAATGTTCCATAGAAATTTGAACAACATACTGTTGGTGATATACAAAATCGTGAACTACCTGAAACTTATGTTGTTTCAAGATATATCACTAATCCATATTTATTATGTGGACGTAAATTTGATTTACGTGTTTATGTTCTTGTTACATCGGTAAGTTAGTTTTATGTATCATTATGGAATTGAATGTGTGTTTTTTTAAAAAACAGTTCAATCCATTGAAGGTTTGGGTTTATAGAGATGGATTTGCTCGTTTTTCCAATACGAGATTTTCATTAGATTCTATTGATGATCAATGTATCCTTTTGAATTGATTCTATATTATGTAACTATTATAGTATTTTCAGAAGGGGTTTTGTGGAGATTTTTAGAAATTTCAATAATTGATATCATGAGTCAATTGAAGGCTAGACGACCATGGAAAACCTCGAAGTACTGGATGGCCGTTTCGTCCTAGTATGGGACTCCTTAGCAGTGCGCATCAACGATCTCGCCCTTCGCGAGATTCAAACCGAGGATCTAACAGTCTTGCGCTCGAGCGCTTAACTATTAGACCATTGAGCTGATGGTCTAGCTTCAATTTACTCATGATTTCAACTATTGAAGTTCTTGAAATCTCCACAAAAACCCTTCTGATAATAATCATCTACTCACTAGTGACTGACTTTAAGGGGTATTTCCTGGAGTTCTAGCGAGAAGCCGTTAGCAGTAGAGTTCAACCAGGTCTGTTGTGAGATATCAACTGACTGAAGACAATGGTGTACGGTGGCGCAATTTCGTGGGTTGGTTGAAATTAGACATTAACACCGTTGGCTCAGTGATCTAGTTGGTTAAGCGCCTGGCACGAGATTGATAGGTCCTGGGTTCGAATCTTGCGTGGGGCGGTATCGTGAGTGCGCACTGCCGAGGAGTCTCATACTAGGGTAGAATGGCCGTCTAGTGCTTCCAGGTTTTCCATGGTGGTCTAGCTTCAATTAAATCATGTTTTAACTATTATAGTATTTATTCCCAATTGTTCTCGTCATATATAGACAGTATAGGGGAAGAATATGATGTTTAGATGTGTTGGTTTGTTTAAGAAAAACTGAAACCGTAATCACAAAGTGCTTACCAACAGTCTTTTATCCTTATTAACAGCGTATTGAGAAATCTATTGCGAGAACTAATTTTTATGCCTATGTATCTTCTAAACAATTCCATAGACTGTTTTATGTAGAGTCTTAGCTTCACCATAATCAAAATAGATAAATTATATATTTATAGCCTATAAAACAAACACACACAATTTGTGGGAAATTTCCCACCGTCAGTGCCCTCAAATGCTCTGGTATGGCCGAGACTACTCTCGGCCATACCAGAGGTGGGGCCCCCTCCCTCTCGAAATACTCTCACATGGCCACGCATATACAGTTTCTGCCAAGGAAGTCCTACTCACTGCCTTTTCGTGACGAGGGTGTTGTTTACGAAAATGAGAGGACGAAAAGCGAATGTCCGGCACTTTAACCGGATCCCAAACCAATGGTGCACATGGGCCTCAGAACCCTGAGGGAACAAATAGCGTATGGAACAATTGTTGGTCACCGGCTACCATGGGGCTGCATCTCCTCACAATGCTCCACTACCTTGTGGATTAGACCTTCAGGTCAAAGGCTCGGAGAGTGGCTCCCTAAGAAAACCACCTACCTCGGTCTGGGAACTCGGACAGTATCACAGCACATACACAAATATAATGAAAATGATGATACTTACTGAAAACTCTATTCTCGATTCGGTTTACAGTCAAACGATCCTTATTATTATTGTTATTATTATTATTATTATTATTTACCACGTCACTAATTCACTCTTTCTTATTCCCACTTCATGTATCCTTATTTTTCGACTTATACGGCAACTCGGTTATGGTGGAACTTCGGTTCTATCTAAACGTTCTCGAGTCACTGCCTGGTTAAAAATTGTATGCTACCAACAAATACGAATACTGAAGCAGTTTTTCTGAAACCACGTGCACCATTCAAACTGGCTGCCTTCAACGTTCACACGCTTATGTAGGTCAGACAACAGATAGGATTGACTATGTCCTTGGAAAGTCTTAATATCGATGTTTGTTGTCTATCCGAGACACATATTCAAGACTCTGGTAATTTACTACAAATTCGCTCTCCATCTGTTGCTTGAAAAAGCTTGTTTTACGTGCGTTTATCCGGGGACCCTGTGACATCTTCGTCTGGTCTTGCCGGCATTGGTGTCACACTAAGCGCTAGAGCTTAGGCAGCACCAATCAACTGGATCCCCATTAACAGTCGGTTATGTGCTGTTAGATTAGAAAGTTCCATCAAAGTGAAAAGAAATCGGCGTGAGAAACGATATCTTTTCGTCATCACCACGTATGCCTCGATAGATTGCAGCCCGGATGCAATCATGGATGAATTCTACCACCAGTTATCTGTTCTTCTCCAGAAAGTGCGTTCGACAGATATTGTAGTACTAGCCGGAGACTTGAATGCTCAGGTCGGGCGTCTAGGCACAGAAGAGAGTTGTTTAGGTGCCCGATGGGAACTTGTTAGTCGCAAGACAGATAACGGGGACCGTCAACTGCAACTATGCACAGACCACAACCTGTTTCTGGCCAGCACTAACTTCCGGCACAGTCATCGCCGATGTGCCATCTGGTATCCTCCCTCTGCATCTCACGCCTGGACTCAGATTGATCACATCGCGATCAGCTACTGCTGGCGTGGTTGTATACAAGACTGTCGCTCCTTTTGAAGTACCTATCTGGATTCTGATCATGACCTGGTATGCGTCAATCTTGTTTATAAAGGTCTGGGAACTAGAGAGTGTACCAACGTCATGGTATGAGTTGATAGTTGTCCCTATCTTTAAAAGGGGTTCACGTCGTTCCTGTAACAATTATCGGGGATAAGTCTACTTCCGATTGCGTCCAAACTATTGGCTTCCGTCATACTTCGTAGATTATTCAAAACCCGAAAAATGATTGATCCGCGAGGAGCAGGCTGGTCTTCGTTCTGGTCGAGGATGCATTGATCATATCTTCACCCTCCGTCAAATGCTAGAACACTGTCATACTTATCAAAGGCCAAAAATCGTAGTATTTCTTGACATCAGGGCTGCCTTCGATTCGTTGGACAGGACTGTTCTCTGGGATAGTCTCTTGAAGAAGTGTGTGCCTGAAAAGTTTATTAACATCCTAAAGGCCCTATATAAAATCACCTCGGGTAGAGTGAGGACATACAACCACCTTTTCTCCATTGTTCTATTCAAGCAGTGGGGTTAGACAGAGTTGCTCAATCTCACCATTTCTCTTCAACTTTGCCATCAACGATATTCTGCAAACAATTCTGATGGATGGAAGTAATGGCGGTGTGGATCTGTTGTCTGGAGAAAGACTTCTCGACCTTGAGTATGCGGACGATATTGTCTTACTGTGCGATAATGCTCAGGGCATGCAATCTGCACTTAATCAGTTGGCAATCAGTGTCCGTAGGTATGGTATGTGCTTTGCACCTTCGAAGTGCAAAGTACTTCTACAAGACTGGCAGGATTCCAATCCTGTACTCACCCTGGATGGTGAGCAGATAGACGTAGTGGAGAAGTTCGTGTATCTGGATAGCTGCATAAGTGCTGGTGTGGGTGTGAGTGATGAGATCAATGAACGTGTAGTGAAAGCCAGAGTGGCTTATGCCAATCTGGGCCATCTTTGGCACCTTCGTGATGTTAGTCTGGCTGTAAAAGGTCGGATCTACAACGCGTCGGTGAGAGCAGTTTTGCTCTATGCTTGTGACACCTGGCCTCTCCGAGTTGAGGATGTTAGACGACTCTCTGTGTTCGATCCTTGCTGTCTCCGAAGGATTGCTGACATCCAGTGGCAATACCATGTTAGTAAAGCAGAGGTTCGGCATCGTGTGTTCGTGCGCAGAGACGATAATGCAATTGGTTTCACCATCTTGAAACGCCGACTTCGGTCCCTTGGGCATGTTCTACGAATGTCGTTCCAGAGAATTGCACATCGTGCATTATTTGCCGACTCTAGGACTAGTTGGAAGAAACGGAGAGGTGGTCACTGTATGACATGGTGTGGTGGTATGAAAGAAAGCTGCGAAGGTCTGGCTTCTGTCGGTCCTTCACGACTCCCTGTCTGGGTTCCGAGAGATGGTCGGACACAGTGGCTAGAGACGTTATCAGATATGGCTTAGAATAGAAGCCAGTGGCGATCCTGCTGTAACCTTCTTTTACTTTCTTCATAAAAAGTGGTTGTATCTTCCTCAACTGGAGGAATTCTTTCTGGTTGTACCTTTCCGTCTCCTCCATTATTATTATTATTACACTGCCTTACACTAATCTGGTCGCTATTGTTCTTTTTTTTCTTTTACGCTCCTTACCTTCCTTTTTTCTCTTCCCATTCTCATTGTTCTGTGTGGCGCATATATATTTGGTGCACCCTTGAACAAATATTTATGTGTTCAAATAAATAAATAAACAAATATACAATAAGTAAAAAGCATGAAATGAATGTCAATTAGGAAAAAGGATCATGAAGTGAATATATTTACCAAATATTAGCATGGATACAATAAAAACGAAGCGCTGAACGAACTAATCATTTTTCTGAAAAAAGGTACAGTTCCATGACTGATAGTCAGAAAAAGATTGAGCTGTTCAAGATCAAATTGAGTGTAAGTGGTTAGTGTTTCACAAAGATGTAATTGATTGATTCAAACGTGGCATCACTCCTTGAAGTCACTAACTTCTGGTCGAAGCCATGCTGGTAGATACAAACTACTTGGTTGGTATCCACCTGACTATCGTAACCAATGATTGGAAACTCTGGGTTAAATGGCTCAGAATCGATCATAATGGCCTAGGCATATAAACTCTCTGTCTTCCCTTAAACTATGAAACTAAAATCGCTTCATATCTTTCTTTCTACGAACTAATTCTTCTTCCTGTACTATATTCCTATATGCAATCTTTCTTTCATATATTACCACCATTGAATTAATTACTTTTATGAATCCTGTGTTCATCTTGTTGTGTTAATGAGGTATGGCAACTTGGACCGATGCATATATGTGCCTGGTTCTACGTTGTAGCTGACTGACTGAATTGATTGATTCATTCTTATAGATCAGGAATAAAACTTATTTCATAGATAAAAGTGTTGAGTGGTAATAGGAAATGTTATTTATCTAAGTTTAAAGCCGAAGGGCTTACCTCTAATTGATATCTACTCATTTACTTATCTTGATTACTTATGCCTGTTACCCCTCTTAGAGGAGCATAGGCCACTAACCAGGATTCCCCACCGAACTCTGTCCTGGACAATCCTTTCCAATTGCTATTCATTCTTTTGATGTCTGCTTCCGATTCCCAGTTCAGTGTGTCCTTTTGCCCTTCTGTTTTTCGTTTCCCTTCAGGATCCTAAGCTGGAGCTTTCATCGCGATGCAGTTTAATAATTTCCTCAATGTATGTTTTATCCATTTTCATTGTCTTTTCCTAATTTCTCTTTAGTTGGAATTTGGTTTGTTCACTTCCACAGTAGCGTGTTGCTGATGGTATCCTGTCAAAGTACATTGAGTATTCTTCGCAAACAAGTGTTCATAAATACTTTTACCTTTTTGATGATGGTTGTGGTAGTTCTCGAAATTTCAACCCTGTACAATAAAACTATCCTGACTCTTGTTTTTGAGATTCTTACTTTGATATTGGTTGATAGTTGTTTTGAGTTTCAACTGTGAAAATGAGGACCTCGCTTTTCCAGTCTTTACATTTACGTCTTCATTAGACCCTCAGTGTTCATTGATGATGCTGTCCAGGTATGTGATAGATTCCACCAGTTCCAGAGTTTCTCTATCGAGTGTGATTAGGTTGGTGTCCTCTGTGTTGTATTTGAGGATCATGCTTTTTTTCCATGTGTATGTTGAGGCCTATTGATATAGAGGCTGCTGCTACAATGACTGTCTTCAATTGCGTTTGTTGATGTGTATGGTTTGAAAGGCTATGTGATCTGGAAAGTCCAAATCGTCTAGTTACATGCAAGTTTCCAAATACATTCCGTGCTTCCTCTGCGATGTGGAGGTCTTGATAATGTAGCCAATCCCCAGGAGAAAGAGAAAGGGAGGAGATTAACCAGTCTTGTCTAACTTCGTTTCTTGCAATGCATTTATCAACTGTCCTCCATACACGACTTTGCGGTGTAGTCCATCATATGAATTGCGTATGATGTTGACGGTCTGTTCATGTAAACCAGTGTTGAAGAAGGTTCCATAAGGTTTTCCTATCCACACAATCAAACGCTTTCTCATAATCAAGGAATTTGATGAAAATTGTGAAATTCCATTCACTTGACTGTTCAACAACGATCCATAATGTCGCGATTGGGCCTGCGTACGACCGATCCTCATGGAATCTGATCCGTTGATCTCAAAGCTGAACACCTACTGAATCTTTCATCCAGTTCAGCAACTCTGTTAAAAACTTTTCCTGGTATCGATAGAAGTGTGGGTTATCCCTATTTCCATTCTACTGGTACTGAGTCTTACTTCTAAATCTTTTTGAAGTGAACGTGAATATCTTTGGAGATTCCTCTATATTTAAATTCATTCCTTCAAATGATATGTTGTTTGCTGTTGTTTTGTTATTTTTGATTTGTCTAATAGCCTTGAGAAGCAAAATCCTCGTCATGCCTCCTGGATAGTGAGACTCATTCCCACGAACTAACGTGAGATATAAAACGGATGATATAGATCGGGCTAATCACCCACTCAATCTATGCCCACAAACTAATTACGAAACCCACAAAGAATCACAATGCATTTACTCGTGGATCGAAAAACGACAAAAAATTCACAAAAGTTGTGTATGGAATGTACAGGGTTGCTCCCTACGGGGCAAACTCCAACCTACAGCAAAAGTAGATATTCTAGTCCCGGGCGTTCTGCCGTGCTTCGATGTGGTCTGTATCTTTCCAGAAGAGTCTACCAGGCTTCATCAACTTCTTTGGCTAGAAGAAACACAACCAATGGCGTTGTTGATTCTTTTAATGTCTTTAATGAGGTGACATTTATAACGATATCTATGTGTTCTATGGTACTCTAATTATGTCACTTGTATTGTTAGGAGTTTTTACATAATCTACAGTTTTAAAATGAATTATTTGAATGTACCAATGAAGATTAAAACCGTTTCATGGTGGAATTCATGTTTTCTTGTATAAACTTAACATTATATACTTTATTATAGATATACATTTGACAAATATTGCTGTACAAAAAACTGCACCTGATTATGATGCTGAAAAAGGTTGTAAATGGTCTATTGGTCGTTTACGTCGACATCTTTTATCTATATATGGCTATAAAAAAGTAAGTGTAGTTAAGATAGATTATATTTCAGTGATTTGGTTCTGATGTAAATGATAGTAAAATATAGTTTCGGTAACTATTTCATAATTAGAGAGAGGTTTTGTAAATATTGCAGTAATTTCAGTGGCTGTGTTCATGAGTCCATTGAAGCTGAACCACCATGGAAGACCTGGAAGCATTGAACAGTCGTTTCGTCCTAGTATGAAACTCCTCATCAGTGCGCATCCATGATCTGTGAATTGGTTTAAGATAGACATTAACACCGTCGGATGCCGGCAGACTCAGTGGTCTTGAGGTTAAGCATTAGTGTCCTAGTTTCAAATCTCGCTAGGTGGGATTGTGGATGCGCACTGCTGAGAAGTTTCATATAAGGACGAAACGGCCGTCCAATGCTTCCAGGTTTTCCATGGTATTCAGGCTTCAAATGACTCATAAATTCAACGATTGAGTAACTATCTCGTAGTTCTATGGAATGTTTTAAAAACTTGATTAATATTTTTCGTTCTAGTTTTTTTTTGAATTTCAATGGTTAAAATGTATAACTTAACCCAACTAATTTTGACATTTTTCACTTAGGTTTCGAGATTTGTTTGAGTCTTTTTGTTGTTTCATTCATACTACATTATTAATAGCCGTTTTATTCGAATTGGTCGAATGATGTGTGGAGAGTCGTTTAACCTTGAGGTGATATTCACTGCCGACTGACACCAAATGATGTACCAGTACAATCAGGGAACACTAGATTGTTGTTTTATCTTAGAAAGGAACTACTTTTATGATAACCCGTCAAATGTTGTCAATACAGTTCTGCTGTATTGGGCGGAATCTTGGAAAACCACTAAAGTCATCATCCAAAAGATACAAGTGTTTATTTACAGTTGTCTAAGCAAAATATTTCGGATCCGTTAGCCAGACACTATGAGCGACAACCTACTGTAGGAGAGAACATGTGTTAGTAAGTAAGGAACTTTATAACAGCGTCCGTACATTAACTTAACAGAGATCGAATAAAGACACTCATTGCATTGATCTAAGCTGGTTTTGAAGTTAAAGACTTTCTTTTCTTAGAAATATACTACTAGAAACATTAAAACGATCATATTTTCAGAACTTCCTTGACAGTGGTTGTATGCATGTGGCAATGTGAGAGTATTTTGAATGAAAGAACTGTTTCTTTTCACTCTTGACGGTACTAGGACATTTGAGGGCTGTGAATTACAAATAGTAACTATTGTTTTTTAATGAATTAAAATGAACCATTCAACTTAATGAATAACAAAATATTAACATACTGTTATATTGATCAATCAATATTCTTTTCATTTGAGATCATGAATCGATCAGTGAAAAGATCATCAATGAAAATCTAGAAGTATTGGATGATCATTTCGTAGGACTCATCAGCAATGCGCATCCATAATAGCACTTATGATTGTGATTAAAATTGAACTCTGGTATTGTAGTGAACAAGAACACAATTGAAGACAATTGAATGTATTTGAATATAAAATTACAGAACATCTTAGTAAAATTTGAGCATCATACAGTAAATACTTCATTTGTAAAATGTTAATCAATTGTCTGACACTTGATTGATTCTTCTTTTCCAAACCAATCATTCTCTGTTCTCGTTCACTTTTCTTTGATCTTCTTAATCTTCTACTTTCGATTAATGATATATACTACTTATATCTGTCGACATCAGTAGCATACACCACATACGTCTCGTCTTTAAATCAGTCGTTCTTGCTGTTGCTCTGCTCAATTATATATGTGTGTATTTGTGTATTGTTATAGGTTGCCGAGTTATTTCATCAAGTGGATATAATATTTATTGGAAGCTTATTAAGTGTTCAAAAGATTATTATCAATGATAAACGTTGCTTTGAATTATATGGTTATGATATATTACTTGATGATAATTTACGACCATGGTTATTAGAAATTAATGCATGTCCATCATTGACAGCTTCATCTAAAGAAGATTATACATTAAAAGTAAGTGAATTTGAATTATAATCAGTCAGCTACAACGTAGGACCAGGCACATATATGTATCGGTCCAAGTTGCCATACCTCATTAGCACAATAATGTTCATAGAACCCGTTACTTCAATGGTAGTAATATATAAAAGAAAGATTGTATATAGGGACATAGTACATAAATAAAGAATTAGTTCGTAGAAAGAAAGATATGAAGCAATTTTAATCTCATGATTTGAGGGAAGACAAAGTGTGTATAACAACTACGCCGTTGTGATCGATTCTGATCCATGTCACCATGAGTCTCCGACTATTGATTACGATAGTAACACGGACTTCAACCAAGTAGTCTACATATCCCAACATGACTCAGACCAGAAGTTATTGACTTCAAAGTTTGATGTCACGTTTTGGTTTGCATGAATTATACTACAAACTAGAAATCTCAGAAATAAATCAATTTAATCAACAAGTGCAATTAACTAAGACATGCTGAATGTTTTCGGTAATATAATAGAAAAAGTTGCACATAAGTTATGAAATAACTTTTCTAAGACTTCAGATTCTCATATTCTACAATTCTTATTGTAGCTTGATTAACTAGTTTGTTGACACAAATGACTTAATTCAATTTTTAGCAGAACGATTATGCAGCTAAGTCTTGAGACTCGTAGATCATTCTCTGCTAATATTTAGCCGTCTGTCGTTGTAATTCAATAAAACACTAAGCTTCAGTCAACAAACAGGATACCAATAAGAAGCAAAATATCGATCCTATAGATTATCACATTACAATTGACTCAATGGTAGTATTATATAATAATATCCTTATATAGTGAATGGTCTAACAGTGGAATCCAGGACGCACGTTTCGTCCCGTTGGGGACTTGTCAGCCCGGATGTATCTACATCTCAGAGTTGATGTTCACTCTGGGACTCGAACCAAGTACCGTTCACTTCAAACGCTATCTCGTCATTCACTTAGCTACTCAGTCCTGATAGCCACTTGTTTGTGCGATCACCAACTGATTTGAATAACATGCTTCTAAAAATTCCTCGAGGTTCTTAGAGTTCCCATGATCCACATTTTTGGTGCTTCTGCAATCGAATTCACGCTCATAATTTCTCACACGTGTATCAGCAACAATTTGAATTCAGTTACTGTTTATTTGTAATCATCAACAATCTTACCACTTCAAATGTTTTTCTTTCATTGGAATTGTGTGACAATTTAATCTATGTATCACGTAAATTTGACCCCGTAATTCTTCCCATTCACAGAAAAAACTCAGTTATTTTGAATTTTTCAGTTTTTTAATATAAAATCTACTTTCCAGACTAATCTTTTGAATGATATGCTAGACGTTGTGGATTTGGAGGGTCGTTTAACAAGTTTTGAGAAACGTGTTGGCGATTTCGATCTGATCTGGGATGATGGTCCTATTCACCCTACTTCTGATACTACAGAAGGTTGGTTAATCAATGCACTGAACACCATAAATCCGTTTAATTCAGAAAATTCATCGGAATCAATACATGTGTTTGGACCTAATGGACTACCTAGACTTAATTCATTTCTTGGCTGTACTTCACGTCAATCAGCTAGATATAAGTTGGACTCAAAATGTTAGTTTCTGGACAGTAATACAAAGGTAATAAGAAATAATATAGATATATAAATTATGTTCCATTGTATAAAATTTTTTCTTTAATATCAAAAATAAATATAATTCACAAGATAACTTTGATATTTTATTTCCAGTTCTATTAAATTATATAGCGATCTGCTTATTTTACGAAGAAGTATGTTACTTCACAAATGTTTGGGTGTTTTCACTGGCAAAGTGAAGCAGTAATATATTGGTAGTTAAACTATCAGCTTCAATGTGAAGTCAGTTGGTAGAACGCATTCATATTATCCAGACGTTTGTGGTTCCCATATTAAGGAATTAATGCCATTATTTGTTCATTTTTTGGTTTTTTCCAACCCATTCATACACTAACGAACGTTGGTCTTCGAAGTAGATGAATAAATGATAGTTTTGTATGTGTTGCATGATATTTTGGATTGATGGATCAATCCGGAACGTATTTTAGTCTTTAAGAACAGACAGTAGCTTGAAAACTGGATTTCACGTGAATACAGTTGTGACATTTTTATGAAATGATGGTTTAGTTGTAAATTATGTCGCGTTTTATTCATAAGTACACAATTATACCATATGCATTTATGGTCTCCCACCTTCTGGCACTGATGTTTTCATAGCTACTAGAGTACGCTTCCGACAGAAGCTAGAACTTTTATATCATACATTGCATCCCATATCTGTGTACAGTCTGATGCTGCAATCGAGTCATTCATTGGATGATTGGCTGGTAATTCGAATGATATGGTGTTCGAATACTATACACATCAATCGACAATTTGGTACGACAACAGATATCAAAGATGCTGACTTCCTATTTGGTTTTGTTTTCAGTTAGTTTCAAACTTGAAAGCAATTATTTATATTCAGGAATTTGTTTCATGATTTCTTTATCGATAATAGTGGGATTGAATATAATGTTTCATATTCCAAGGCTCTCGGCCTGCTATATTTAACCGGTGAGGTCAGAACGAGTATCCAGTTTACCTGCATATGGGTGTGAGAGCACGAGATGAGGAAGGACAAGAATCATTCTAGACTAAGTCGTGTGCCATCAAATGACGAACATCAAGTCGAGGATGTCCATATTCCGTGGCTGACCAGTGTTAGTGACATGACGACGTCACAATCCACAAGATCGCAAACGAGGTTCTCCGGAGAGACGAGGACGCTCCCTACATTTGCCACACCCTGAAGGGCTATACGACCATGAGGGGGCACGTTCAACTGTTCCATAGCCACGAGTGTTAGAAACTAACACTGCATGACCACTGGGAGACAGGGAGGGATACTATTCGTGAATCTGCCATTATCAAAGCATCTTAAGGGCAGCGAACACCTGAAAAGTGAAGATCCTGGCTGAAGCGAGGCACAGGACTTTTGACATGTGTTAGAAGGAGAGCCCAGCATAAATGCAAAGCTGCCTTATTGATTCTGGTAACAACTCCTACCTGTCATTGAGAAATAAATGTAACATCAATGTTCGAGGCGACATAAAATATATACAAACCAAGCGAGCAGTTGAAGCACAAGCTAACCCAAAACATCTCTATATGTTGTTATCTAAACAAAAGCCTACAAAACAGGTGAGTTGGCTCCGTCGAAGTGCCTAACGGTGGAGATCTTACCAACACAGAGATGGCTGAAACCTTAACTCACAACGACACCAATCAGTTCAATCAGAATCAAACAAAAGCAGAACACTCCTCAACTCTGGTGAGAGTTGGTGGCCTAAGAAATTTCCATCCAACTCTCAGGTAAGCACTTGCACAACTGAAGTGCGTGAGCTGAGGAAAATCATCAGGATATGACAAAATCCTCCCTGAAATTCTGGAACAATGCACGAGAGCAATAAGTTCACCAGTATGCGAGCAGTTCAGGCATTCGTTAAAGTCACAGCAACGTCCAAAATATTAGAAACAGTCTACTCTCTCAGATCTTCAAAGCAGGAGATAGGAAAGTAGCAGCTTGCTGTAGACCAGTCACATTACTCTCGATACTATTGAATAAACTGGTTAATGATTGAACAAGGGAATCGAATGACGAAAACAATGCTCACCAGGAAGCCTTAAGTAGTTTTAGGAACGAAAAGTTCTGCGCGTCCATTCTTACCATAGAACGAAGAATCTGAGTAACAGCAGGGATCGAACGATACTGGTCTATTTTATATCCATAGACACCATGAATACTTTTAACACGTAACGAGACTCACTTTTCATAGTGAGGGTCAAAAAGATGGGTTTCTTATACTGACGCCAATTTATTCGTTGCTTGAACTGCCGGCGCGAGTTGAAAACGCTTTTGAGGACAGCTTGTTGCTGTTGCTTACTATTTTAATTAAATTTCGTTTTGCGATAGTATTTCATGTTAGTTTTCTTGTAGAATGAGCTACTAAGGTCAGTATATCAGATTTGTGAGTTAGACTAGTAGTTTTATGGTCATGAGTTATTGGTAATTATTGGTGATTTTGAGCCAGTATTTAGCTGTTCCAGGGTTTGTTCATCTGGAGAATCTCACTTTTTGTGTTTATTCTCTCTGAGATCTGCAATGGTATTGGGTATTTTGTATGGATATAAGAGACACTAGGTACGCCAAGGAACCTCGGTATTGACATTATCAGAATACTACTGTCACTTACCTAAAGGCAACCTCATAAAATTCGGGCATTAGAGAGCGGAGACTTACGTGCTCGCACGCCTCACAGAAGCTTTCCGAATAATAGAATACCCTTTCTCTATTCGTCTACAATATCGAAGCTAGTGGAAGAACTAGCCAATGACCAAATGAGTGGATACATGGGCAAACGTTACGTCCTCAATGAATTCAGAACGGCTTTAGAAAGGTCAGGTCTTGTGCATTCGATATACCCATAGAATGTGAGAGCTGTATAAACTGTTGGGTTAAACGATACCAGGCCATTTACTATTCGTTGACTTCTCGAAAGCATGTCCCAATCACTCCTCATAGATTAGGTCGTAGATATAAGTTTGTCGGACCCACTCATATCTTGGCTCCAAAATTTACCAGGGAACAGGGTGTTTAGTATCAAGGTAAAATGAGTGCACACAACCTTCTGGGTTTCAATACCAGGAGATTCAAACGAGAATACGTCATGTCCACTATTCTACCCAATCATCATTGATGAAATTTAAGAAAAAATAAGTTCTGCGGTACTAAATTACTCAGACATTGCAAAGATATGGAGGTTCACCTTAAATTCCACAATGTCGTTGCGACCAAATTCTTCGAAAGAGACATAAATCACGAAAACCAATAACATAGATGGGCAAAGAAGTGGATGATAGAACTAGGAAGGAAATCTTACGAATATAGATCAAGACATCTGAGACTATGCGCGCTGATCTGTGGAAGGATAAGTGATCTGATAGTGGCGTCTAACATACGTAATTCGTCAAGTCGCTCTGACATGAACATCCGACCAGGACATGCTCCTCGACTCAGCCCCCTGGATATTGTACATCAAAGAGCGCAAACACAGGTACACACCCACATGTCCTCAGGACGTGTTTACCCTATCTGAACTTCTATCCCAGCTTAATTAACCACATCCACATCAGTGGATAGCTTGTGAGGAGACTTGACAAACAAGTATTGACCCATGTATTGCAATCTCCCTCTCGGACATTCTGAACCAGACACATGTAGCGCAACTCATTAACTGTAATCACTACATTCTACTAACTTATTCCTTTCTAGTCTGTTATCGCTTCTGTCTTTTTTCTTGGAATTCAGCCTTCTCATACTGTCAGGATTACCAGTTACTAAATTTTATTTATTTCTTAAAACAATCGTCTACACTGGGCTACTGAGTATTTTGGTCTTCACTATATTATTTTTCACATTGCAACGAACCAACATCTTGTCTGGTAATTCAATACCCGCTAGCTCTGGAAACCCTACTGTTCTGAGACAAACGCATCCACTAAGGTTACAAAATAAATAAACCCACAAATAACTACCATAATGTCTAGAACTAGTGTAGTTGTTAAACTATCAATAGTCCGGAATCGTACCGAAACAACAAGAAGCGATCACAAAGGAATCTATGGGCCTATATAATCTTGTCACAAAATCACTTGATATTGGACACAATTTTGTTTAATGTACCTAATGTTCAAGTAGTGCAATCAAATTTTGGGACCAGCTCTGGCGCATAGGTTGTACTGTTTCCGTGCTAGGAGTTAACTTTCTGGGTTCCTACTCTACAATTACCAGCTACAGCCCGTTTTTAATTTGTGCATAGTATTGATGTGTGGTGTGGGATTTTGCCGTCGTATTCACCAAAACCTATGCATATGCTTAGCTATATACACTCTATTTGAGTATCGTATTCCGTGTGTCCACTGTCATGATCCTGATGCTACGTTACATAAGCACTCAAGTGTATTGTTTGCATCACTCACAAATGATAGCAAGTATATGGACAAAGAAATGCTCGCGGAATTCCTGAGGTCCTTGCATCTGTACGAAGAATCTCCCCATGAGAGCGATTCCAAAGAAGACAAGGTTAGTCAGATGACATCACATACGGGATATCTCGTGCATTTTCATGAACTGATATTGATAGACATAACTTGCCAATTCGTCAGCTCAATCCTGGTAAATACGTTTCCTGAAGAACAACTACCAAACATTTTGCTCAAAATCTCCCTATTTTTGGGAAGATTTTGTACGTTTTGGGTAAATTTTGGGGAAGCCGCAGTAGAAAACGTTGATGAAGTTTTTGAGAAAAGGCACAAAGCCCCCAGAATTTTCATAGGTTTGGGGAAAATTGCGATGCTTTATGCATCAACGTTTTCTACGTGTAACGTCATTTTAGATTGCGTAGTGTTTTTGTCATTATTTAAGTGTTTTGCACGTCACTTTTCTACCATTCGCCATCGTTCCCTTTATCTTTGTTTGTTGATGCAGCTCATTCTTTGAATGTTTTCCTCTCAATGCATATACAGTTTTACATTGTTGTGCTACATCAAGATACACTCGCTCTTCAAATCTATGTATGGTTCTTCCGTTTGCAGGATCTTCGGACTATCGTCATGTAGATCATGTAATAGACTTCACAAACAACGAAGTACTTCCCTGTGCAGAAGTTTTCATTTTCCTGTGTGATGAAAACGTTTTATTGTGTTATATTAGTAATTTCCAAAGAGAATTTATTGCGTTTAAACCATGTGTAAGGTGTGGCTGTTTATGGTATAAAGTGAATTCAGTTTTATTTGTTTTTGTTCGAAGATTGTTCACTGCTATAGAGACTAACAGTGGAAAGGTTATCTTCGTTTTCGGACCACTTTCGTTTTTAATAGATTTATTCATCGCTTACTGTGTGTATCGTAACATCCAGAGATTTTAAAATCCATTTTCAGTCCCGAATAAAAGCCAGATGGTTTGTACTATCACACATAGTCTACCAGGATATGATAGGTCTTTCTGTGTATAGCTAGGTCTCGCTATCTTGGTTTCCTGATTTAAATATGTACATGTGGTCAAAACGTTTATGGTTTTTCTTATTTATTTCAGGTTTAATGATATACGATTTGTCATCCAGTGGTGTGTTAATTTTTCTCAATCACTAAGCCCTGTTTAAATAAGCTTTATTGTACTCTAGATAACGTGGATCTAGCTAGGCTTTAGGATATGATCTTATGGCTTACTGGATGCCAAATTGTTCTTTGCTTCTATAAACTTAATTTTCAGCGGAACTAAGGTGTACCTCGATTTTTTCAATTCTGCAAGTTGTTTAGTAGTTCTTACCTACTGTTAGTAACATGTTACCTTTACTTTTGTACTATTTAGTGTTTCACGGCAAGTGAAATGTTCGATTTATTTTCTCCCAATCACTCACATCTAAACCAAACGGATTTTCATGCGTTGTTACCGACTATCGTTTATGAGTTAAAAACTGGAGTTTGTAAGCACAATCATGTACACGAAGTAGTTCCTTCAACGCACGAGTTCAGTTGGAAAGGTAAGTCGGCCTTAATTCTAAATAAATTTATACCACAATTTTAAATCTTCGTCCTTTCCACGTTCTCGTTTTGGTATATTTCTCACGAATTCATCTCTTCAGTCACGAAATTAGTATTTATAAATTGAAATTTATACAGATGATAACCGTTATTTTGATATTGTACCGTGAAATTGAAAATTCCTGATTTCTTCAACTTAAGTCTTGCCCGTCTACCAACCAAGCAACAAGTATACTGTGTGCTCCGTATTTATTACCATCAAGTTGTCCATAAAATTAGAATCTATGTGTGGACTGGAAGTATCTTATCATAGGTGCCTTCTAGACATTAGTCACATAATGTAGTATCATGTCTTGAGTAACGTTGGGACTCGTTGTGGAGTATCAATTAACAATGCCAAGTCAACTGTTCAGGCTGCAGACCTATATCGACTCAGGTGGTTAAGACATATGTAATGCATGTTCAGTCCACTGCTGACTGTCGTAGAAGTAGGTTAACCAGCCGGTAGCATCGTGCGATTGAAGATATATTATCACTCCTAAAGATATTAACTGCTCTCAACTGTTAGTATATGTGAGCTTTTTAGTTTGGGCTTGTTCAGTAGCCCTAATATACGGATGCAAACGTTATTTGATAATTCAAATTCCATTTCGGCGACACATTTGTGTTCATTTATTACCAAGATTTGAATCCTCGTTCTTTTTTCTCGTTTTGGCTCATTTCTCATGAATTCATATCTCTTCAACCCTCAAATATCCTGGTACGGCCGACGGTGGGGAGAGTCAGCTTTCTTTCTCGAAATGTTCTCACATGGCCACTGCCAAGGAAGTCCTACTCGTTGCCTTCTCGCGGCGGGAGTGTTGTTTACGAAGTTGAGAATGTCCTGTGCTCTAATTGGGTTGGTAGATATGGAGGATCCACTCAGGGAAGTTGGAAAACCCTGACTTCAAACCAATGGTGTACATGGGCTCCCGTATTCTTAGGGAAAAATGTCGTACGAACCAATTATTGACCACCGGCTAACGTGGAACTGCATCTCCTGATGTTGCTCCACTGCCTTGTGCATTGGACCTTTACGTCAAAGACTCCGGACTTGACCCCCTAAGAAAACCAGTCGCTTCGACCTGGGAACCCGGGTAGTATCGCAGCCCACACACAAATCAAGTGACTTATGTGGCTCATAAGTATTCGGTGCCCCTTTGTACCAATATTTATGTGTTCAAATAAATATAATTGCATTCATTATCTGTCTTTCTCTTCATCTTGAATTTGGCATTATTTCGTGCTCTTAAATCTGGAATCCCCCTTCTGTTTTGACTATATTTCTCATACTTAGCTTCCCGTTAGACCCCATATTACGTACCTTTGACTTCAATACGATGATGCCCTCTCGTTCTGATTGTCGGTTTTTTCAGCGATTTCAGATATATTGCGGCATATCATACGTTAACTGAAATTTTAGAATATATGTCGATAATTTCTGTTATCCGTTCTAAATCTCTTAAAACTCAGGAATGCTTATCCGTTTATGTATGTATTTTGAATCCTGGACCAAGGTAATGTACCTTTAAGAACAGAAAATGTTGTTGTTTCTTGTTTTCCCCCAGGTCTGTTATGCTGCTTTTATTGAATTCGTTTTTGTTTAGTAACGTGCTTACAAGTTCAATATGTGTAGACATATGAGGATTATAAAATGATTTATTTTTCAACATATCATACACATTTATGTTTATGTATATCTGAAATGTGGGAATTTGTTTACTTCGTATTTACGTGAGATCGTTAGCTCATTAGTTTTTAATCACTTTATTTTTTTAGCCTTTCTAGCTGCAATCGGTGCTGTGCTTTTGGTGAGCTTTTCAGGACTTATTGTTGTATGTTTGGTACCTCTAATGTCCCGAAGTTTTTACAATGTTGTAACTCAATTCCTTATAGCGCTTGCAGTTGGTTCACTTGCTGGTGACGCCTTTCTTCACTTAATACCTCATGTAAGTGTGTTTAATATAATAACAAAAAATTTCAACATCTTTGTTTGATAAAACGTTTACGTACGTTGAGCTTCTAGACTCTTATGATATATTGTATTTATGTCTTTATAAGTGAGTTTATGTACATTTCGACTGAAGTTTTCATCTACAATGAAACGACATTTTTATCGTCCTTCTCTTTCGATTATATCCTTATTTATCAACTGTAGTATTCAAGCACACAGACTCGGCTCCCTGAATTGTAAGACTGTCAGTTTGATACGATACTCAAATTGTAGGCTTTAAAGTCAAGTCCTAATTGACTGGAGAACGAATGACCCGCAAATTAATTTCCTCCAACCACCTATGACATTTCATTATGTTTATTTTGTGCCTATATTTCGAATATAATCGTATTATTTATTACATGGATAACCATTTATCCGGCTAGTGGTCTTGTCATTGATCTGTAATCATTCGAGAACTGAAGTTAATTATACGGTCTTGTGAGTAGCCATCATTCAGCCGCATTATATCATTGCGTTCATCTATCGATCAGCATTCTATCCAATGATTTTAACAATCAAACCTCACGTCATCCAGAAAACGCGTAAAATAATACAGTTTTAGGCGTTTCCCATTCTCTAATTGTTTTTCAGAATGCTTTTGAGAATATCAGGAAGATGCTTGATGAATAACTCCAATTGTTTCAATAAATTAAAGAGAACGGTTGCATCAGGACGTAACATTCATTTCATAGATTTTATCCGTCTGTTTACAACCTAGAAACAATATGTATACTTCATGTCCGAATGATTGTTCAAAGATTTGTGTATTTGTAGGTTAAATACATGAGTATTCTAAAAGACGACACTAAGAATAACATAGCAACAAGGTTTTTAGAAATCGAAGTTTACGTCATAGTTTATGCAGTACTTAAGGAAATCGACTGAGTACTGCGTAGATGAGAAGTAAGGAATTGTGATTTGGGCCATGGAAGAAATATCACGTAAAGGTTCACTCAAATAAGATCATCAGGACAACATAATACTGGTAACTGTGTGCTTGGATGCCGAGATTCGGATTAAATTTTTTTGTAACAACAACCTCAACAAGGCATAATAAAATCCAAGTCTGGTTTACTGGCTATCTTAAAGAATTATGAGACACCATCACATCTACTGTCAGTCGAATGACGAGTAATCGCACTCATAAGGATATGTCCGTCTTTTTGTGGAAAGCTCCGAGATGTTGACAATAACTCTCTTTGGTTTTCTTCCAGTGCATGAGTTTTTCCACATGTTAGCTGACAGATAATTATAAGTAACATAAGTTGAGAATTTGTGAATATTTGCTTGTTTCAATGAGCAATCCGACTGGTACAAGAACTAACTTAGTGGCTTATACGTTGTAAAGTTAAAGTTTAAATTTATGTAGTTTACAAAGGCATCAATCATTATTTGTCAAAAGAATCTAACGTTACGGACAAGAAAATAAATGTATTAACGTAATCTAGTCACAGCATGTGTTGAGGTTTCGTGCAGACAGATATATTCAAGGCTCATTTTAGTAATAAGTGTATCTCGTGTCACAATAATTAGTATCTTTATTAAAATGTTAAATACTATTATGTAAACAACAAGCTTAAAAATCAAAAATAAGTCTCTAGATATGTGTATTTCTATCCATTCATCACTAGCAAATCTATAGGCCAAAACAAAGTGTAAAGTTTTAAATTGAGGGGTATAAGTTTGACTCAGTCTTCTAGTAAACTAGGTTCATTGGGTATATAGTGACCTTTTATTTCGAAGTATATGAAGTTTTAGCGGTCCATTGTTTAGCCTCTCATTACCAGTCATTCGACTTTGTGTGCTCTTATTTTTTCTCAGTAGGTGTTCATATATAGAAGCAGCTGTCAGTCGGTTGTATCCTATAATCTCGTATGATGGATTCACTATTATTTAAAGCATTTCTATGTGACTGATCACTTAGGAAGCAATTTTGTATATGCTTATAGTTCATGAGGTTTATTGATGAGTTCATTTTGTTTTTGAGTTAATGATCAGCTGGTGAATAGTTTACATCACTTGAAGTATGAACTAGCTAGTTATTAATTTCTATTATTGACACCAGGTAATGCTGTTGTATCGACGGGTTACCGCTTGTTTTTTCTCATTAGACGACAACATCTATTCAGATTATAATTTTCTTGTTTTCAGGCTTTTTCTGGTGCCGGACATATCCATCACAACCATGATCACGAAACTAATATTGTTCATGAACATATTGACGAACATCACCACGAATCTATATCATCAACAAAACTCAGCTCTCACCGGAAAATGATTTTGGAGGCACTCATAGCTCTACTAGGCATTTATATATTTTTCTTAACTGAGCGGCTTACCATCATCTGTCAAAATAAAATGTCTAGACGGAAGCTGAAGCGTCAACATGTAAGTGTATTCATTTAATACACAAATATATATATATATATATATATATATATATATATATATATATATATATATATATATATATATATATCATTTCACTCTATTTGTGTGAGGGGTGTGATACTGTCCGGGTGCCCAGACCGAAACAGGTAACCAACAATTGTCTCATAGGCCATTCGTTCCCTCAGGATACTGGAGCCCATGTGCAACATTGGTTTGGCATCCGGTTTAAAGCGCCGGACATTCGCTTTTCGTCTTCTCAATTTCGTAAACAACACCCGCGCCACGAGAAGGCAGTGAGTAGGATTTCCTTGGCAGAGGCTGTATACGCGTGGCCGTGTGAGAGCATTTCGAGATGCAGGGAGGAGCTACCCCACTCTCAGCCATACCAGGGCATTTGGGGGCGTATTCATTTACCTGGTTTTCTGATTTGAACTTGAGTTAGTTTTAGACTTTATGTTTGACAAAGCTGCTTTGAAATCGATCTTCGAGCTACTGATTTGTATATTCACTAAAAATATGACTTATATAGGCTTAATAAGATAGATCTCAACTTGCGTTGGTGGTAAGAGGCTCGTAGTCACCTGCGGTTGCTCACACTTTTGTGCACAAGCAAATACTGTTTAGTAAAAATGAATGACGTTTTCAAATTATTTCAATTCTGTATTTGAATAGTTCATGATGAAGTTATTGATCAATAAGAAAAAACGGATATAAACATTTTAGGCTTTTCTGATTAGTTCCCGTTGTCCATTTATTGTTGTTAAACTCATGTTCTATGAGATGAATAAAAATTATTAAAAGAAAAACAGATTTAGGTCATCACCTCATTCGTGATTTGAAACATATCGGTTAATGAGGTTTAAATATCAGTTCAGTCACAAAGTTCATTGTCGGACATTCGTGTAAATTCAAGAAATTATTATTTATACATCATATCATACCAACATTTTAGAATGATATTCTTTTTGTTCTTTTTTTAATGGAAATGCTTGATTGTGAATTTGTCTAAGTGCTCGCGCTCGAGACTGGTAGTCCCTGGGTTCGAATCTTGCGGGGGGGGGCGGGGTCGTTGATGCGCACTACTGAGAAGTCCCACAGTAGGACAAAACGGCCATCCAGTGCTTTCAGTTTTTTATGGTAGTCCAGCTTCAGTTGACTCATAATCCTGACTATTTTAGTGATTTAGTTTGTTCTACTAATTTATTCATATCCTCTAGTATAAATTTTTTTATATTCATTAGAATACGTGACAAAAAATACAGTCTTATTGAATAGGTTTAATTGTACATAATTAGTATATTTATAAATATACCCTATCGATTCATAGGCTCAGCAATAGTATGTTAGATTATTGTAAAAACGAATAAATGGGTTGCAAATTGTTTTTATCTATGATTACTATGCACGTTATAGATTCCAATAATTTGACGATTTCAAAGGTAGATAAAAGTTAAAATGGTATGAGAATTCTCAAATGCATTCACATTGACCATGTTATGTAACTGATCGTTTGCATAGGTTATGCAGATTAGTTAAATATATATAAATAAAATAGCAAGTGTCAGTTCGAGGTACGATGTTAATTAACATAACAGAGTAAACCAACTAATGAACTGAAACAAAAGACACAATCTGAACGGAATGCTTGTTTTTCAAATATAACAGATTCAGAGTTCCAGTAGTCGTATATAAGATGTTATCAAGTATCAACTTAGCTCTGGAACTACTTACTTTCCTAGTATAAATGGGATTTGATATTCCTTAAAGAACAAATTCAGATAAATATCTACTACCTAACTAATGTAATGTGCCCAGCCAAATTAGGCATATCACATATTTAGTATCAAACTAATTACAAAACAACGAAATATAACCAAATATCACATTACCAGTGCAATAAAACGTGCAAAGAAACTACTTTCATCGGTTCATATAAACAAAGGTAGAATGTAAAGAGCAGTGGACGTTTGATGAAAACCACGTCCGGATAATTCCATGATAGCTAACTACTAACTTATTGTTTTCAAGCTTCACGAAACCCTAAATCTATCATTACAAGATCATAAACATTATGTACAAAAGTAATTCGAATATCAGACAGAAAATTCATTTCACTTTGATCTACTGATCTGTATATTCACTAAAAATATGACTTATATCACCTTAATAAGGTATATCTTGAGTTGCGTTGGAGGTGTAAGATCTGTAGTCACCTGCGGTTGTCCGCTCTATGATAAGACACTTGTTGAAAGATCTGTCATGGAAACTATACTACATAATATTAATATAGTTCAAATGGGTCACCATTACACACAAGCCTGATCACCATGTCAAGGTAGAGACTATACTGTAAGAGCAGGTTGTAAGAAAGCCTAGGGTGTCATCAATCCATGAAGGCACTAACTGTCAGTCTAAGTCATGTTTGTAGATGAAGACTGATTGATTAGTGTCTGCACAATCATGGTTATTGATAGTTGGAGGAGGTATCAGCTCGGGACCAGTCACAATGGCCCAGGTGCATCCATTCTTTCTCTTCCTCTAGATCACAACTGCTGGTGGTTCTTCAAGCATAGCCTTTCGTTTATTGTTATTCTCCTTCTCGAAACATATTCTCAATGTTTAGTTTTCATGATCATCGCCATCATCTGATTCATACTCCTTCGCTAGTCGTATGTTCAATTCGTATCGTCATCCCGGTGTGGTATGGCAAATTTATCGAACAAGAATTTGTGTCAAGCTACACATTGATTATTACTGGATGTATGTCCCATAATAAATAATTAAATTAACTAATTCACTAGGTACTTGAACACGAGTTACACTCTAATTGTGGAAACTAATGAAACTACTCAGTTGCCCGAACTGGAGTAAATGGAGTGGTATGAACCGAAGGATTAATGATTGAAAGTCGAACGCCCTAACTAATGACTAGGACATCGCTCCCACATCCCATAAAGTAGTTGCAGTTAAGATATCTCACACCGAGAAATCTATCCGGACTTTATCATTATTCTTTTAAAAATGGGGGTCAAAAGAGCAATTATTTCTGTCTGGCATTTAATACTATTTTTCATTTTAAGCAGAAAAGTATCGTACTTATGCCTTGTCACTTTTATGAGTTGAAAATACTCTATAATTCACTACACATAACTTGGCAAGTAAGGAATCACATATTATGATTAATCAATATGAGAATTCTAGACAGATGAGGTCAAATATCTGTTTCTTACAGTGTGTGTGACAGAGTGATTGTGCAAAATATGCTCTCTTTAACAAATTTATGACACTAGTAACTACTTAAACTATTTGTTAAATAAATAGGTTATCAGCTAAACTTGCCCCTGAAAGCCGTAACACATCAAGTGATTCGGTCAACACTGGTTGGTTGGTTGGTTGGTACAATAGGAATTCATCTGTCTGCTGTGTTCTTATTCCATTCTAGTCATCAGGCAAAAGAAGGTGGAAAGCTTAATCCTGAACCTATAGGTGTTAGGCATTGATCTCGGTCGTCATCTCATTGTCTTTGAACTACTGGCCAAGAGTAAATCATTGTGTCATGCAGGAAATCTAGGCGAATTAATCAATAATTGAACTAGATAGAACAACTGTTCTCAGAATAATAGCCCGATCACACGTTCCTCGACATAATACGAAAATTGTTATCGAGAAAGATGTGCAATTGACACTGAAGAATCGCTCCAAGCTTTTCGACGTAGTTTTCATTTCAAACTAGTTTTTGTTTCTTCCTTTTTTGCTTTCTTTGACTTCATAAGGTTCATTTGTAGACACCTATTCACTTGGTGTAATGGGCAGTGGGGCTTTAACATTTGGTCATCGTGTATGATCTCACTTACACTGACTTTTTAATTTCCCCTAACATTTGTTTTTTTTTCAGAGTACTGCATTGAACGAAAGCCAGATGTGTAATTGCTCTCCTGAACGACCCATGGATAACAGTCGCTGCGTAGATTATCTTAATGAAAAGCAAATAAGTACGTAATAAATTTTATTCAAATATTATTTGAAGAGTACTCTTTTTGCCTGTGTATTATTTTTAATCTTGAAGAAGTGCTTATATAATGAACATTTTCTATGGAGTAATCTATACTTAATGAACTTGTCTTGAATTCTTGAGGTTATATGCGCAACAATAGATATAACCTGGTACCAAAATTACGAAAATTGAATTTTAGAAAAACAGTATAAACCAAGAACAGTTGAGTTTCTAAGGATTTTACAATAAGATACTGGGTTTAATAGGAAAAATGATTGAAGAGTTCATAATTTACAAAAAAAAACTGACGAATGAATCCAATAGCACTGTATTAACCTAGTCACCTATGGTTCGTGTCTATCGATTTCTGTTTCATAATCTGTACTCGAAAAAACATTAATTTTGGTGTTGTTGGCGAACACAAATAAACCACACAAAAGAATTAGTAGTATCACAATGGGGGGTTTGTGGAGATGGTGGTAATTTAATGGTTGAATTCGTCAGACGATTTAAGCTGGAAAACCATGAAAAACCTGGAAGTACTGGATTGCCGTTTCGTCCTAGTACAGGACTCCTCAGTATTGCTCAGTATCGTTAATTGGTTGAGGTCAGACATTAATACTGTTAGATGACCGGCTCAGTGATACTGAGAGGGATCGTTCACTGATAGGTACCGTTCCTATGAAGCCGTCTTTCATGAAATAAAGTAGTTTACAGACTGACTACTTCGCCACTATTCTCACCCCGCCCTAGCATCGGAAAATAATGCTCAGTGTGGAGTTCACTGGAGCGACATTCATAAAACATGGCCAAACCATCGGTGTCGGTTTTTCAAGATGATAACACCAAATTTATAATCGTCATTGCACTGGGACAGATATAACTGAACATTGGCATTACTAACATGGTGTTCGCAGTGGATGCAAGCGATCCTTCGGAAACAACGATTGTTTAACAAAAAGAATCGTTGTACACCCTGAGCTCATAAGGTCTGAGTTTGACAAGTATAAAACAAAAGTGCACTTAGGGACACGTTATGAGACCGACTACAGATAGACTAACATCACGACGGTACTAGAGATGGCCCACATTATCGTAAGCTTCTCTGTCTTTCGTCATACATAAGTTGATCCCATCTGGTACGTCACCACTAACGTTACTAGTACTCACGCAGCTACTAATATTGATGAATATTTTGACCATTTTGACAATTCATCACAAAGAGAGTCCAGACAATTATGAGAAGGAATAGTGATATTGAGCAACTCTATCTAACTCCACTCTTGGACTGCAATAATACAGAGAGGTGATTGTAAACGTTTACTATTCTTGGTCTATTTATTTATTCGATACGATATATGTTCAGTACATCCGCGATTTAAATAAAAACCGGCCTACTCCCGACTAGTTCATCATTCATGGATTTTGCACAGTCTGTGTATCATTATAGATACCATTGATTAATATCGCAGAAATTAGATATACCCTTTTTGAAAATAGGAACTTTGATTTTTCAGATTTCCAAATCCTTTCAAACAATCTAGTCATTGCACTGCCCACATATTCGTTACCATTCTTAGGAAAAAACTGGTTGTAGGTCTTCTGCTCCTGGTGGTTTGCGACACTTTATAATCTAGAGTTTCTTAAGAACCTGTGCCTCCATAAGCGTTTCTATTGTCACAGGTTAATGAGCAATCTAATTCATGCTGATAGTGAAGTTAATTTATCCCTCGAAGTTTTCTCCTTGGCTTTCAAGACAATTTGGAAGGTTACTAATTCTCTGACTATCAACCTCACAAAGTTTTTCTTTGACACTAGACTTCTTGTAACTTGTGATCAGAATGTATAGGAGTATTTTCCATTAATTACCAAATGTATCTGCTGTTTTCAACTCATCAGCACACTTTGTCCATATATTAAGACGAAATAAATATGCGAGATTACGTTTTTAACTGATTGTGAACTTTGTTGAATGGTATTTCCTTTATTTAATATTGTATGATAATTGCTTAGTGTATTATTTGTTTTATTTTCGGATAATATTCTGTGTATTAATTCACTATGAACTTCGTTCATTTACCATACAGTTGGGGCTGTGTCACAATTGCTAATTACTCACTAACTGTAATTATAATTAACCAAAAATGAGTGTGTCCGTTAAAGTGTTTGTTGTATTTTTGTAGAAGTTATTAACATTCTTTGTCCACATCAGTGTTTGCCTTATATTTGGATCACATGAATCACAGTTGTTTCCACTTCAAAATAATTCACATTTGCATCACTAGGCTTATTTATCCCCTATAAAAACTTCGTGAAATTTCATATTTGTATCGCCAAACTCACGATTATGTGAAGTAGATTGGAGTACTTCAGTAAGTCGTAAGGGGCCTTCAAAACTCAAAACTCATAAGCAGGACGTTAAGCAGAGCCTCAAGCGACTTTACTGACCATATTTTTGAAATAATACAAACTTGGTTAGTGGGTGTTTAGGATTTTCACTAAATTAACAGCCATCCTTAAACTTAATTTGGTTGCAATGGTATATTCAGTCAATTTACTTGTATCAACCCGTTAAAGACAATCTGCTGAGTAGCTACCGACAAGCAGGATAGGCTTGGCACATGCAAGATGGTAGTCAAAAACTATATATGTACTCCGAAATAAGCAACATATTGTACGCAGTCATGTCTACAATAGCTGATCACAAAATGATCATTCAGAGTCGAGGTTTAGGTTACTGAGTGTTGACGCCAGATAGTATAGGCGGTAATTGTGCCAAAAGGTGGTGCTGGGAAGTGACTAGTTGTAATCTGTAAAATGCTTCAGGATTTTGTCACTGTTGATGAACTTTGCACCATCGAAAGCCAATTAGTCATCCAAACACTTCTCTTCTGTGCCTAGTCAAATCTGCAAGGATACCTACAGTCAAGACCTATCCTTCGTTTTCTATAACAATCTGCATCTATCTTTGCAAATCTGATTTTCAAAATAGTTTTCACATAACTAATGATATATACAAAACACTAGTTTTTAAGTCAGATATTGAATTGACTGACAAACTACGTCGAAAATCTTAAGTTGACTCCTCAAAGTTTCAATTCTATATGTGGTGACATTTGTTTCGATCAGGTTTTAATGTTGTTATGTAAAAGTTTGATTATTCCGATCTCTCGAATATTTTAACGGATTTATCGCCTACATGATGTTGTTGTGTCTTTTCTCACTTCATGGGTTTGGAAAAAATGATCTCTCTCTTTCAACATGCATCTCATACTACGAAAACATGACTCTCCCTTGTGTTGTTTGTATAAGGTAGGGTGTATAACAGATGATTAGCAGTTGTTCTTGTAATATTATATTCCTCCGTAATCATCAAAGAATTTGAGATTACTTGTACTTATGTAATTAGGTTTGATTCAAATATAAAATCATCAAGTCTTGTCTCATAGTCAGTAATTTTTATATACACTCAATCTTCGCTAATTCATGAATCGCAACTCCATTTTGCAAATAAACATCCAGTTGTGACGTTTGCTATATTTTGAGCTCGTGACGCTGATGGTAGTATTTTCTGATGTAGCGGCAGAAAATCAGGTACTTGTATTATGTCGAGGACCGTGTGATCGGGCTATTATTCTGAGAACAGTTGTTCTATTTAGTCCAATGATTGATTAATTCGCCTAGATTTCCTGCATGACACAATGATTTACTCTTGGCCAGTAGTTCAAAGACAATGAGATGACGACCGAGATCAATGCCTAACACCTATAGGTTCAGGATTAAGCTTTCCACCTTCTTTTGCCTGATGACTAGAATGGAATAAGAACACAGCAGACAGATGAATTCCTATTGTACCAACCAACCAACCAACCAGTGTTGACCGAATCACTTGATGTGTTACGGCTTTCAGGGGCAAGTTTAGCTGATAACCTATTTATTTAACAAATAGTTTAAGTAGTTACTAGTGTCATAAATTTGTTAAAGAGAGCATATTTTGCACAATCACTCTGTCACACACACTGTAAGAAACAGATATTTGACCTCATCTGTCTAGAATTCTCATATTGATTAATCATAATATGTGATTCCTTACTTGCCAAGTTATGTGTAGTGAATTATAGAGTATTTTCAACTCACAAAAGTGACAAGGCATAAGTACGATACTTTTCTGCTTAAAATGAAAAATAGTATTAAATGCCAGACAGAAATAATTGCTCTTTTGACCCCCATTTTTAAAAGAATAATGATAAAGTCAGGATAGATTTCTCGGTGTGAGATATCTTAACTGCAACTACTGTATGGGACGTGGGAGCGATGTCCTAGTCATTAGTTAGGGCGTTCGACTTTCAATCATTAATCCTTCGGTTCAAACCACTCCATTTACTCCAGTTCGGGCAACTGAGTAGTTTCATTAGTTTCCACAATTAGAGTGTAACTCGTGTTCAAGTACCTAGTGAATTTGTTAATTTAATTATTTATTATGGAACATACATCCAGTAATAATCAGAGTGTAGCTTGACACAAATTCTTGTTCGATAAATTTGCCATACCACACCGGGATAACGATACGAATTGAACATATTACTAGCGAAGGAGTATGAATCAGATGATGGCGATGATCATGAAAACTTAACATTGAGAATAAGTTTCGAGAAGGAGAATAACAATAAACGAAAGGCTATGCTTGAAGAACCACCAGCAGTTGTGACCTAGAGGAAGAGAAAGAATGGATGCACCTGGGCCATTGTGACTGGTCCCGAGCTGATACCTCCTCCAACTATCAATAACCATGATTGTGCAGACACTAATCAATCAGTCTTCATCTACAAACATGACTTAGACTGACAGTTAGTGCCTCCATGGATTGATGACACCCTAGGCTTTCTTACAACCTGCTCTTACAGTATAGTCTCTACCTTGACATGGTGATCAGGTTTGTGTGTAATGGTGACCCATTTGAGCTATATTAATATTATGTAGTATAGTTTCCATGACAGATCTTTCAACAAGTGTCTTATCATAGAGTGGACAACCGCAGGTGACTACAGATCTCACACCTCCAACGCAACTCAAGATACACCTTATTAAGGTGACATAAGTCATATTTTTAGTGAATATACAGATCAGTAGATCAAAGTGAAATGAATTTTCTGTCTGATATTCGAATTACTTTTGTACATAATGTTTATGATCTTGTAATGATAGATTTAGGGTTTCGTGAAGCTTGAAAACAATAATTTAGTAGTTAGCTATCATGGAATTATCCGGACGTGGTTTTCGTCAAACGTCCACTGCTCTTTACATTCTACCTTTGTTTATATGAACCGATGAAAGTAGTTTCTTTGCACGTTTTATCTCACTGTTAATGTGATATTTGGTTATATTTCACTGTTTTGCAATTGTTTTTATATTGATCTTGTGTTTGTTTGTTGAACTGGTTGTTTATATTTTGTTTATAATATTAGGTGGTTCAGATGGTGCTAATCAACCGCACTGGTCGTTCAACAACAATATTGTGCCGCCAACAGATACCATTGAAGCGGTAGCAAATATTGATCAACAACATTTTAACGGTGGTGGTGTTGTTGTTGAGGGTCACTATACAAAACTATCGGATTTGAGAAAGTCATCAGTGCACAATAATAATAAAAATATTAATAATGATAATAAGCAAACATCTGTAATAAACAATGGAGGATCCGTTGTTGATATGCTTGATGTGAAACAAGTGAGATTATAATGTTTTTAGTTAAATTAATTTTTCGTAATTTGGAAGGTTTTTGTTCGGTTCGACAACATAACACCTTTTCAGAAAGTTTTCCCAGTAGTTAATCTTTAATTAACCGGATTGGTTTTTAGCAAATATAGTTCTCATTTGTGTTCTTACATTTCTTTTATCTTTCCTTGTAGCTCTGTTGATAACTGTAGATTGTTGAATTTAATTTTTAGTGAATACATGGACTATATGCTAAAGATGACAGTGTTGAAACTATCTAGTTTAATTATAGTCTATCAGACTATATTGATAAACTCTTTACCATGTTGATACAATGTGGACAGGTAGATGTAAATAAGTTAGCATACTATTGCTTGCTTCATATATAAAAATGGAAACGATTACTGAACTATTTTTTTAAGATGTTTAGTGAATAGAAATATGAAGCATAACCATTGAACGTAAGCAGATACCAGTCATACAAAGTGTGTCTTAACCGCCTTGGTCGATGTACATTGACAATCTTATCAATCGACTTACTATTATTACTCAGAATCCTATCCCTAACATTAGCATTCCTCACTTGATAGTTCCTCGGACCCCAGGAAATGCTTCGAAAATACGTGACAAAAAACCTGCAGCCTAAGTAGGAATTTCAATTTCGTTGAACAAATTTCACAGCCACAAGGTGAATCCAACCGGCTTCTTTGCATTATACACACCTTTTAGTTGGTAGGCAGACATCCCGCTCAAACCACAAGCGACTCAAGTTAGCAAACTTCAATCGGATTTTCTGAATCCGTGCTGAGGTTTCATCTGACACCAGAACATCTGTACTAATGAGAATCTCAAGATAAGTAGAGCGGTCGTCACGATCGACTTCACTCCTATATATGACAAAGTTAAATAAAAATGGTGAAAGTGGGCAACCCTGACGAACGGCACGTGAAATTATCACTTCCGATACCAGTTAGCCGTAAGCTCTGACTTAATCAGAACAACTCGAGTAGAAAGCCTTAACAGAGTCAATGCACCTCATTGGTACGCCTTTCAATGACAAACACACAAAACCTCACGACCAAAAGAGTCGAACATATCAACATATGTAAAATAGCATTAGATTAGTCCTTTGACTCGGATTGATTCGATTCATAAGGTTAGTAATCCTAAAAGGATAGCTTCACAAAAAAATTAAACAATTCTTTAAAAAATTTGAGACCCATTCCACCAAGTTCAATGGATAAAATGAGTACATAAATTCACGTTTGGTTAACTAGTACCACAGCTCACAGATTTGTTAAGCTACGAAAATATATAATAAATACTATGCATGGAATAAATAACATACCAGTTAAGAACCCAGTACGTTGACCATTCGGTAAGATACAATCATGACGTTGATAGGCGTAAACGACTGCTTCCAGTTGTAAAGCTGAAAGATACGCTCGCTCGATCACTTCATCCGAAAGAATCAGACGATAATGAGTGTCTGGAGGAGAGCAATGAACAAAGAACTCGACTTGACAACAGGATCTGGATGCTTTTGTCCGTGATTCACTGGAATAACAAGAACGTCAGTTTATTTTAAGACCATATGAAATTATTATTATTATCAATGGCTTTATTCAATATTATATTTTTAGTTTAATATAGAATCCTCAACACAAGGTATTTCAACGAGTTTGTTCTATAGAAAAGGAAAAAAACTGTAGTTAAGTAGATAAGCTGCCTGAAGTTAAATGAAATGCTTTTTTTTAAAGAAGATTTTAATCTATACAACATTTCTCAGTTAGAAACACTTTTATGAATACAAGTTATGGACTGGGACAACTCTAACAACGTGTTTGTGAAATAGTAAATTTGCTAGTTAAGGTGTTGTAGAGCTTTTATACCTTTGCTTGCATGCGGGGAGTCTAATGTATTGACGTCTCGTTCTACCAGAAGATATACTGTAGTGAACGAGAACTTAGATGGGAAAAAACAATTTATTGTTTAATTCAACATTACAGTGTCTTGGTAAAATATTAAAACCATTAAATACATCATTTGAACATCTTCGATTGATTGTTTTTTTACAAATTTCATCGTCCTTTCATTCCGGTTGTTGTCACAATTACTCTCTGTATATATTCCTGTTCTCTTCAATTTGATCTTCCCAATCTTCTGCAGCCAGGCATTCTACCTCTGATTGATGTTACATACTACCTATACTTGTCAAAATAAGTAGAAAACATCACAATAATTGTAGTATTTTGCCATTGAGCTTTGTTCTGTAAACTATTGTAACAGTCTGTGGTTTATTTATATTATCTATTTAGAATAATACTACATTAGAGCTTGCTAACCCTGCTAATAATACTCCACAAATTGGTAAACCTAATGCAATTTTAAGAACGAATTCGTCGTTCGATTATATTGGTGGCGGGGAACAAATTCAAACACATCCACATCGTGATAAACCACATGGGCATCATCATGGTCATAGTCATGATTTAAGTTCTGTTCGTGCAATCGCTTATACTATAATTGCCGGTGATGGATTACATAACTTTTGTGATGGTATAGCTATTGGCGCTGCATTCGCGAATGATATGCGTGGTGGTCTGTCAACTTCATTAGCTGTATTATGTCATGAACTCCCACATGAACTAGGTAAGTTAAAGCTGTAAAAAGTAAGACGTAAATTGTCGGTTTTATTTCCCCATAATTATATCTAATATATTATGTTAAATTCTTAGCTCAATTACTCAATATTTTGCAGTGTACTATTCTCCCTACTGTAACTAGTTTATCGAATTATGTAACCTGGTATATTGACACTTTTAAGTTCAATTATAAGTGAAATGTTAACTAAGAACTTGTTGGTTCTTGAAATAGTTACCGTAACCTTAACCCCTTAGGTAGTTTGCTTTATGATTATGATGATTCAAGGGTGAACTTATGTAATAAGGGGTTATTATGGATATTGGACAAATCGAAAATAATAATTGCTGTCAAACATTTAGCTTAAGCAGGATTAAATAAACTTTATTGCTAATATAGCTCGTATCTAGTTAAGCATTTGGATCCCGACATAATCGTAATTGCAATACAATGATCAAATTATAGAAACAAAATACATAAAATCCACTGTGTCTGCAACAAAATAGACAACTTTGTGGTCGATTATCATTATTTTTAAATAACTGCTTTCATTTACTTCCTACACTACATATATCTTCATTTTCAAATTTGTCTTTATGGAATATATAGTTATTCTGAAAGTCCCGTCTTCTCGATTAGTATGTGTGATAGACATATGGTATATCCGAGCTTCTATTCGTTGTGTCATATTTGAATAATCTTCAGTCAATCGTAAACATAATTTATCTCAAGCCAGTCAAAAACCCCAATACTTTAATCGTTCTTGTTAAGATATAACACAATGTCGATCTAGTCGTGGACACTTCCACCGGCGCTCACAAAGACAAATAAATAAATTCCATATATTCAATTGTTCAACACATACTAAAGTTAAAAATCTATAACAGCTTACATTCATTTCAATACTATTTCCAGGATATCATTGACATAATAAATTAAAAGTAAACAAAGAAATTATGCAATCCTATCCTTACTTTTCCAGTTAAATTGATTGTACAGGGCTTTAAATAAGGTAGCGACTCAAAGACCCACTCCTCTCAAGCCTAAATATACTTAAGACAAATATACTTGTCAAATAAGGGCCAACTCTAATATCAGTAAATAAAACTATGATTAACCTGTAATACTTGTGATTCAATTGAAGCGCCTAATAGAGGTCAAAGTATAATAGTCAACAAATCTACGATTTATGCGAAAAGTGGCCTGGTGTGCTCAAGTTAATCTTTCAACTGTTTTGAACAATTTGTACAATTCAATGTAAACCAATATATTCAACGCATCAGGTTGAGTAGACCTATGCCTAAATGATCTTTACATTCAATATGTAAGTCTCTTTTAAAAAAAGAAAGTAAGTGTATAACAATCGTTTATTTAAAAAAAAAACTGAATCACTTCTTTCATCTTACTTTTTCAAATAGAGTTCAATGATGAAATGTTCTAATTAGAATTTCTGATGAGACCATAATTTATGGACGACCTTTGACTGACGCTATAATGACCTTGAAAGTGTCCACCTACTAATAATTAGGACCAAATGAAGATTGGAATTATGATTTATGGTTGGTAATTAAGGTTAAGAATTAGATTTAAGATTTTTTTTTAATCATGAACTGACATCAGTTATAATGTCAAAATGGATAAGTGAATTTTGCGCCAAAATCCGAGATCTATTATCTTATATCTAATTGATCCATTCATCAATTATAATTCCACTGAATTTTTATCATTGATTCTATTAAAAATCAATAAATATTTTATTTATTATCATTAATTTTTTAGGTGATTTTGCTGTTTTACTTCATGCTGGAATGTCTGTAAAATCAGCTTTATTTTATAATTTATTATCCAGTATATTATGTGCTGCTGGTATGATTATTGGTTTTTTACTTGGTGGAATGCATTCATTAGATACATGGATATTTATGTTAGCTGCTGGAATGTTTATTTATATTGCATTAGTTGATATGGTTAGTTTTCTATTTTAAAAGGGTTTTTTTCTCTATTGTTTTTCTTTTAGATTTCTATATATTGATTATATTTAAATATTCCACTCCTCCTTATTTTTATAAAAAAAAATAGATCTGTGATAATTAACACATTAATGATAATGTCTAATAAAATTTTCATGATCCATCCTGATCGCAAAATATTGTTATAAGTGATTGGAATTCTTACTTACACCTATTGCCCCTTGTGGAGTAGCATAGGCCACCTATCAGCATTTACCATTGTACTCTGCTTCCAATTCTCCGCTCAGTGTGTTTTTTTGGTCTTGATCTTATCCGTTTCTCTTCAGAATTCCAAGTTAGCGCTTACCTGGAGATGAAGTTTAATAGTTTTTGTAATGTGTGTCCTATTCACCTACAACGTCTTTTCCTAATATCCTCTTCACGTAGGGGTTGGGTTGTTCTCTCTCGTATTATATTGTTACTGATGGTTGTGGTAGTTCTCCAAGTTTCACCTTTGTACAATAGAACTGTTTTGACGTTTGTATTGAGGATTCTGACTTCGATGCTGATTGATAGTTGTTTTGAGTCCCATATGCTTTTAAACTGTAGTAATGCTGCCCTCACTTTTACAGTTCTTGTCTGCACTTCACCTGTAGTTCCTCTAGGGTTACTGCCGATCCCAAGCCCGGTTAAAGAAGGAGGGTTGGGAATGGGGTTGGCAACCTCACTGAATTCATAATGAGATGTTAATTTGTATGTATTGTAAGTTTATAACTGTAAATGTAAGTCAATAAAAAGAGGATTATGCTTAGAATATCCTAGTTTTTGGTTTTATTGTTCAGTCAACACTTCGTTATTCCAATCAGTTTTTTTCCTGTTCAATAAAATGGATTTATATTTTGTCCTTGGTTTCAGCTTACTTTAGCTGGCTAAATATATAGTTAAGCCCATGTATTATTAGACTATAAAGATTATCATTGAACTTTTGGCATCGTCTTTACGGAAAACCAAATAATGTTCTATACTTGTTATAAAATATGACTTGGAATATTTTTCCCTTTCAGATGTACTATCACTATGCCTTCAATACGATAATGAAAGCGGTCACGTTATATTAGTAACGCGGTTTACGACTTAGAATAAATAACTAAATTAACACTAGATAGTTCTTTATTCCATATAATTACAAGTAATCACTGTTAGTGAGCTAAATGCTTGTTTATCCATTCTCAATGACCAATCATATTTTACCTTCATTATTATATATCAATAATACACTACTAGTTAGGGATAATCTGTACTTTATTAATTGTCTAACTAACCTCTATTTAAGTACTTCTTATACTCAATTTTTGCGCTTAAGAACATAGGTCATGCTACCAGCTATTTATTACTTATTGTATCCATCACTGACTAATATAGATAATTATCAGAAGGGGTTTTGTGGAGATCTTTTTTAGAAATTTCAATAGTTGAAATAATGAGTTAATTGAAGCTAGAGCACCATGGTAAACTTGAAGTTCTAATAAGAAGCCGTGACTAATGGAGTTCAACCAGCTCTGTTGAGAGATCGCAACTCACTGTGGACAATGGTGTGCGGCGGTGCAACTTCGTGGTTTTTTTGAAATTAGACATTAACACCGTTGGATGCCAGCTCAATGATCTAATGGTTAAGCTCTCATGCACGAGACTGATAGGTCCTGGGTTCGAATCTCGCGTGGGGTGGGATCGTGGAGGAATCTCATACTAGGACGGAACGGCCGTCCAGTGCTTCCATGTTTTCGATGGTGGTCTAGCTTCAATTGACTCGTGATAATACAGATAAGTCTAATGAGGTGTGGCAACTTGGACTGATATATATATATATATATATATATATATATATATATATATATATATATATATATATATATACCAGGTCCTATGTTGTATCTAACTGTTTGACTAAATATAGATAAGTTCTTACATCCATCATTTTAGCACTCGTCATCATTACTTTCAAAATTATCTCAATAGTCAGTGTATATAATACTTTTGTTTCTTTTTGTTTTTTTTATTTCCCAGATGCCAGAATTATCGGCTAATCAACTTAAAGGTGATCGACGTTGTCATCAACCGAGTGTTTTATTTATATGGCAAAATTTTGGTATCCTTTTAGGTTTCTGTATAATGCTATTAATAGCATTTTATGAATTTCAATTTATATCACACTAAGAAAAGAAAAAAATTTTTTTTACATCTTTTCTTTAAGCACCCCTCCCCACCTACCCGCAACCCCATTCCCCCACCCATCTCTTTTCTTTCTTTCTTTTTTTTCTTTGATGAAAAATAAAGAAGAAAAAAATTGATTATTTCCGTTGACAAATTACATTTTCTATTTTCTCTTTATCTTTGTATCTTTTTTATTTACCGAATTTGATGTAATTAAGAAAAACAAAACATTGTTCCCCTTTTTTTGTTTTTTTTAGAGAGAGAGAGAAAAACGCTTTTTTTTCTCTTTAACTTTTCTTTTTTTGTTTTTTTTTCTAAGAAAAAAATAAGAAACAAATTGATATATATTTATATAGATATTTTGCTATTTATACTTTTAGTCTTAAATATTAAAATAAAAACGCTATATGATTTTGTTTAATGATTATTATGATCTTCATTTCATCATCAAATATACACGATTATCATTTTAATTTGCATTCTTTAATTATAGAAAGAAGAATGTATGTAGTGTGTTTTGTTGATTATCCGATTGTCATGGTGTATGATTTTGTTTTGTTTTGTTTTTCTTTTTTCTTTCTTCTTGTTGTTTCATTTATTCTATTTAAAAATAATTTGATTTAGAATAATCTTATTTTCTGTTGATCTCATTATTGAGTTCAATTAAAGATTTGTTTAATGATGAATAATAATTGTGTTGTGTTATCATTGGCGAAGAAGTTTTGTTGAGATTGTCGTTATTTCAATAATTGAATTCATGAATCAATTAAAGGCTAGATTCATCATGATAAACTTAAACGTACTGGGTGGTTGTTTTGTCCTAATATGGTACTCCTCAACAGTGTATACCTATGATCCCACTTCACGATATTCGATTGCAAGAGCTATCAGTTTCACTTTGAGAAGTCCTCATACTAGGACAAGCCAACTATTCGATTTTTACAAGTTTTCCATGGTAGTTTAACTGACATTAACTCATGAATTTTAACTATTAAGATTTTAATCAGAGAGAGGTTTTGTGGATATTGTTGTAATGAATCAATTGAAGCTGGATCATTGTTGGAAAATTTGAAAGCATTCGGTAACCGATTCATCTTAATATGTGTTTCCTTTTTCCAGACTGTTTGCGTGTATACATCTGACCATTTCCTAGTATCCAGGTAATGTACTTGTTTTTCTTTTTGCGTCTGACACTTGGAAACTAATCTTATAAGATTAAATCAACCGTGATTAAATGAGAATAAGAAAAAGTATAAACATATAGTTCATCCGTTTAATTATTTTAATATTTGACATAGACTAATTGCAGTTGCAATTCACAAGATGAAGGTTTAATAATATTCAATGATGTAACTTCATGTATAATCAAAAGGGGGAGGGTAGTTACGTAACTCAAATCGATATGTAATATGTTTCGTCTAATCAGATTTTTATGTTCTTGTATACAGGTTGTTCATAGAAATCTGATCGATTGAAATGACAGTGGATTTATTATTGTAATTGTCATTATTTAGCAGTTATGTCAGTCAGCTACAACGTAGAACCTGGCACATATATGCATCGGTCCAAGTTGCCATACCTCATTAGCACAAAAAGATGAACACCGGATTCATGGTAGTTAATCCGGTGGTGGAGATATATAAAAGAGAGATTGTCTATAAGAACATAGTACAGGCAGAAAGAATTAGTTCGTAGAAAGAAAGATATGAAGCAATTTTAATCTCATAGTTTAAGGGAAAACAGTGTATACACCTACACCATTGTGATCGACTCTGAAAGACAGTCACGCTGACTCGGACCAAGTAGTCTGTATCTACCAACATGGTTAAGACTAGAAGTTAATGACTTCAAGCTTTCATGCCACGTTTTGATTTGTCCACCCCTAACTTTCCTCCAACACTAGTCAGGATTGTGCGTCGTGGTAATCGGTGTTCAGGCACGTGGCTCAACCATATCAGTCGATGAAGGTTCACAACGTCATTAACTGGTTTACCATCATTCCCTAATACCTTGCATCTAACCTCACTATTAATTACCTGGTGATCCGAGCTGATGTGAGCAATATTTCTAATACATCTGTGATCAAGTACTGGTAGCTTAAGAATATCTTCTACTCTTAATGGTCACGTTTCTCAGCCGTAAAGTAGAACATAACGAACTGGCGCTCAGTATACTCGTCCTTTAATCAGTAGATGGATATCTCGCCTTCGCCATAGTTGACGTAATTTGACAATAGCCAAACGAGCTTTTTGAATCCGTGCAGAGATTTCGTCAGACACCAACTTATTAGAACTGATCAAACTTCCAAATTAAGCGAAGTCGTCATCGATTTCTACTACTGGCATTGTTGCTTAGTGATACCAAACGATTCTGCGTTTTATCAGCGTCTTCACCAAACCGGTATTATATATACCTTATGACTATACATTTTCAGAAAAAGTTCATTATATGGTTCTTTGTATTAGGTTAACTAACGTTAAAATAGACTAACCTTGAATATATGTATATTTTTAAAAAAGAATTATGACAACAAATAATCAGATAGATGTTATATCATAATGCACGAATAATTTTACTGTATACCATGACCTATCATTTGACATTGTTCATCTCATCAATGATCACGCAATGGATGACTGTTTACATTAGCCAACTAACTACAAGTTCACACTTGATAATCAATTAATTTCATTCATGGACAATTGATTAGATATATTTATATAAAAGCAAATGATCTACTTTGTGATGGTATTATTTCCATGGTAACTAATATCGCAGTTAACTACAATGTAACTTTTTAAATATTTATGAAATTTAATCCGTCACATACACATATGAACACTTCTGTACAACATAATAAATATCCTGTTACTTGATCTTAGTAGAGATTTTAAAAAAAGGACAAAGGGTATATTAAATTTAACATTTATGCTTCTTTCATATGGTCAATACAGTGATTATAAACTAAAGTTTCTCATTTTAATAGTTACCTATAAATGGTTGGTTAGTTGCTAACTTATTAATAATTAGTGAATGATATGTAATTTAAGATTTAGTTTGTGTCAGTTGTAGGTTGTAGTCAGGATATATTTGTTGGTAATCTCGTGGTATCAAAATAATGTCGAGTTCGTGTCAAAGTTTACAGAAGAGACTACCGTGCGTACGTAAGTTCAAGGTTACAAACAACACACAAATACCCTCTCGGAATGCTCTCATATGGCCACGCATATACAGCCACTACTAAGAAAGTCCTAATCACTGTATTCTCGTGGCGGGTGTTGTTTACGAAATTGAGAGAACGAAAAGCCAATGTCCGGTGCTTTAACCGGATCCCGAACCAATGGTGCACATAGGCTCCAATATCCTGAAGGAAAAAAATGGCGTACGAACCAATTTTTGTTCCGGCTACCACAGGATTGCATCTCACGATTCTCCACTGCCTTGTGGGTCAGACCTTCAGGTCAAAGGCTCGTGGTGTGGCTCCCTAACTAAACCACCTGCTTCAGTTTGGGCACCCGGACATTATGCCAGCCCTCACACAAATCGAATGATTTATGTGGCGCATATCCATTTGGTGCCTCCTTGTACCAATGTTTATGTGTTTAAATCAGTCAGTCAGTCAATAACAACGTAGAACTTCGTACGTACGTACATCAGTTCGAGTTGCCACACCACCTTAACACAGAGATGCAGTTGTCGATTCAAATCCCATTGTGGTAGAGGTAGCAAGAGTGTAAGCAGTGATCGGGAAGATTAGGGTTTGGAGATGTTATTTAAAGAGTATAATTCAGTGAAATAAATTTGGAAAGAGGAAAAAAAGGACATGAAGAATTCAGAAGATTAGAATTTGGGAGAACACAAAGAGTGGATGCACCTGCGCCATTGCAAACGATTTTGAGCCATGTCATTCAGGGTCTCTAACCATCGGTTGCTATCATCTCGCGGTCCCGAACCAGGTAGTCTACACCTAACAACATGACTCAGACCACTTGTCAGTGACTTCATGGACTTGTGCCATGTTTTGGTCTGGCCGCCCCTAGCTTTCTTCCAACCTACTCCTATACCACTGAACATCGCACATCGAGGCAGTCGGTGGTTGGGCATACGTAACACGTGTCCCAGCCGTCTCAACTGATGAACTTTCACTACTTCATCAATCGATTTGCCATCTTTACTTAGTACCAGTTTCCTAACAACTGTATTACTTACTCGATGGTTCCAGGATATATGAGCAATGTTTCGAAGACCCCTATGATCAAATACTAGTAACCTACGAATGTCCTCTACTCTTACCGGCCATGTTTCACTGCCATAAAGTAGGACGGAACGAACTGCTGCGCAGTAAACACGTTCTTTTGTTGATAGACGGATATCTCGCCTACGCCACAAATGACGCAAGTCGGCAAAATCTAGTCGGGCCTTCTGTATTCGTGCTGAGATTTCGTCACACACCAGACCACAAGGGCTGATGAGACTTCCAAGATAAGTGTAGCGGTCCGGATTCTTACTGTTCCGTTCAGTCGGACAGCGCACAATCGGCTGTCTACTGGGATCCACTCTAAGAGAGCTAATTCTGCCCCAGGGCTCAATGCTATACCTACGCCGGCGAGGCCAGGGGAAGCAGAATCAGGGCTTCCAGATGCACGAAGCGTAAATCGAGTCGGTTCTTTATTGTGGCATGGTGAAGTCAAATGAATGACGCTACTCGGATCTTGTATGCGCGTTTCGGAGACGCAGCACACATCGATGGCGCGAGATTCTAAAGTCCTAGCTAAGGAAGCCTGTTGTCCTATTTGGCACAGTGTTCGGACGTTAAAAGCTCCTAAGTGTAGTTTAGAGCGTGGTTTCAGGAGACCAGGAATAGAGTTCCACGTACTCGAATCGTTTGCCCTAGCGGTGCGAGGTGATAAAGAGATGTGAGGAGGGTTAGTCATGGAGATAAGAGAGGTATTAGGAGGTGTAAGAAGGATTTGAATGTGACCAACTTGGTCTCGTGTGCTGTT